CAAAAAAATATTTATTTTGTATTATTTCAGGATTAGGCTGGGTTAGAACAATTTCAAGGCTGAGTGCTGCGGCTAGGACATTCTAGGGGATGACCCCAACTTTATGTGTTAAAAAGGAGGGGGAATGGAAGGGGTTCCAAAAATTGTTCTCTAGAAAATTGCTAACTTTTGTTAAGATCTTTTGAAAAAATATCTTGTGGAGGGGCGCCGCCCTCTGGGATTGAAGGGGCTAGGAGATGCCAACCTCTGGGATTGAAGGGGCTAAAAGTTGCCACCCTCTGGGCTTGAAGGGGCTAGGAGATGCCACCCTCTGGACTTGAAGGGGCTAGTAGATGCAAACCTCTGGGCTTGAAGGGGCTAGGAGATGCCACTCTCTGGGATTGAAGGGGCTAGGAGTTGCCACCCTCTGGTATTGAAGGGGCCACTAGTTGTGCCACTTATTATGGATTACGAATTACAAAACCCCTTCAGCTTACGTAAATCAAAATATCAAATTTTGTTAAATTATGTTTCGTGTAAATTTGACTTTATTTAATAAAAGTTAATAAAATATTCTTGATAATTTCTAGAATTTAAATATTAAAATTTGTATTTAAAGTGTGTAATATCATTTATTACATAAATAAAAAATTTCCTGGATTACACATAACACAATATACAAACTCAAGGAAATATATTATACACAATATACAAACCCAAGGAAATATATAATACACAATATACAAACCCAAGGAAATATATTATACACAATATACAAACCCAAGGAAATATATTATACACAATATNCTGAGCACAACTCAATCTAACTTTACTATCCATGTCAAACCGGACACGATCTCATAACCTATCAATGCCAAACTACTGGGCACGATCTTATCAGATATCAATGTCAACACGGACACAAGCTTGTAACCTATCAATGTCAAAACAATGGGCACGATCTTGTCAGCTTTCAATGTCAACAAGGGCAAAGCTTGTAATCTATCAATTCCAAACCTATGGGCATGATCTCGTCAGCTATCAATATCAACACGGACACAAGCTTGTAATCTATCAATGCCAAACCTCCGGGCATGCGGATAAATATAAACGTAGTTAATCTAATCACAATACATGTTTTAATCATGTTACGTAGTTCAGGTTTTACTAATACCGTGTTACATGCTATTTATCACAATTACACGATATTTATCAAAGATATACATGTATCTAATCTGGGGTTGACCCGCTTAAATTCTATTGATGTAATAAATATACTAGCTTTGCTATACAGAACCAAAGATATTTGTATTCTGACACAATAAAATATTGATTGCTAATTTCCAAATACTTCTGTAAAAGCTGAAACCAATTCTTTAATGTTTCTGCTAATAAGTATTGAAGAGAGTTTTTTTCTCCATATCTTTGCAATCTGTTGTCGTAGACCTTTGATATTTCAAATTGTGAGTTCTGTCGGATCTTGAAGAGTGTAAAGAAATTGAGTCTTTGTCACAAACTCAAATTGTATAACCCCTATATCTGTGCAATCTGATGGTGTAAACCTTTTTCATTTCAAACTTAGATTATTTGATGTAACAAAATTCATATTTTGAAATATCTGAGGTCTACAACATTGGTTTGCAAAGATATTGGGATTAAAAAATCAGAGTTTGCAATATTAAAGGTATACGCCATCAGTTAGCAAAGATAGAAAATTTGAGTTTGTGGTTAAAACTNATCTTTCACATGTTTAAAGTTTCAAGTATTTTTCATGTGAAGGTTAAACTAAATCTTTCTGCCTCTTCTAATTTTCAGCATGTGTAGTATGCAGTATTCTCATTTATTGCTCAATTCGCTGAACTTCTTTTGCAATTGTGTGTCAAAATGAAACTTTAAATTGAATAATCAAAATAAATAATTTTGTTTCCTAATAACAAAAGTATATTATATCCCTGTTTTCTAGGCTTGTCTAAACTTGTTACTATTACCACTAGTAACTCCCACGCAGATACAGGTATGACTCATCCTATAAGCTCAAGAAACAGGGACAAATACCTCACATTATAATCAATATTGAGCCAAAACGAAAATAATTAGAAAATAAATAAAAAATAAATGAATATTATTTTATTTTTTTGCCCTGAAATGGTTCTAGAATAATCTTCTGAAGGTATACAAAACTGTCTTTACTCCATACTGTACTCATTCACTTCTACTCCTCCATTGAACAACTCCAGGACTCCATTATACAATATCATGAGTAGAGAAACATATTCGGGAGTCTTTGATCCAAGGGAGTACAAAAAGGTAACAATTATATGTATTTCTGGAGTAAATTATAAGAATTGCTCAAAATATCAATTTTCGGGCACTCCTAATCGCGAAATAAAAAAATCTCTTTTTTTGGCAACACAAGTTGGATAGCTGCTATAAAAGCAACAATAAATCGCTTATTTGACTTTGGTTGAAAAGTAAACGATTTGTTTGTTGAATATAACTATGGTTAAGGCTTATTTGGCAGCAATCCAACTTTTGCTGCCGAATGAGCGATTTTTTTTATTTCGAAATTTAGAGTTGGGTCTTTCTTTTCTAAATTAAAATTGTCGTATTTTTAGTAATTATTTAAAACATTTAAACTTTGTTTAGACTGATACTGAATGGGCTCGACGCAGGAAACCTGAGTTCCTTGGTCCAGGAAAAATACATTATACAAGAGAAGTTGTCCGAGACATTCCTCAGAATCAAGATCAAAGGGGGCAGTATCAGGACCAAAGCGGCCAAAATCCGAACGTCGGCTATACCGGTCAAAATCTAAGAGGAGCGAATGATTATCAAGAAATTGAAATTCGTCAGGATGGCCAGGAGGTACGTCGTGGAGTTAGAGGTCAGGGGGGTGGTCAGGGGGGTGGAGTTGAAATCAAGATCCAAAGGAACCCTGATCAGGGTATGTGGCCAAGAAAACTAAAATCTGACCTCACTAGGCTGTACTAATTTTTTTGTGACGAAAATCCATTTTAAAATATCAGAATTTGTAAAATTTTAGAATTCGTTGGTGGTTAATTTATTTTATAATCAAATATTAATCTGTAATCAAAATTATTTTTTTGTTTGTATTCCCTTAAATTGTAAGCTAAAATTGTTTTAGTGTAAATAAATGCATACAAAAATGGATAATTATTTGCATGCATACTATATTTTTTCATCCTAGATTTCTTGACCATTTAGGCCAGAAAAACACATTTCCCTCTTGTTGCAAAATTAACAAAATTTATGTCTCGAAAAGTCGTTTTGCACGTTTTTATTTTTATAAGGAAATCTAAAAAGGATAACATAAAAGGGTGCATTGATCGCATTTTGATTGATAAAATTGGGGAGGTTGCTGTAACTTCATGTGACCCTGGGGAGGTTGACGTAACTTCATGTGACCTGGGGAGGTTGACGTAACTTAATGTGACCTGGGGAGGTTGACGTAACTTCATGTGACCTGGGGAGGTTGACGTAACTTCATGTGACCTGGGGAGGTTGATGTAACTTCATGTGACCTGGGGAGGTACTTCATGTGACCTGGGGAGGTTGATGTAACTTCATGCGACCTGGGGAGGTTGACGTAACTTCATGTGACCTGGGGAGGTTGATGTAACTTCATGTGACCTGGGGAGGTTGACGTAACTTCATGTGACCTGGGGAGGTTGATGTAACTTCATGCGACCTGGGGAGGTTGACTTAACTTCATGTGACCTGGGGAGGTTGATTAAACTTCATGTGACCTGGGGAGGTTGATGTAACTTCATGAGACCTCCAATTTCTAGAGTTTTCAGTGTAACCTTTCAATCTTCGTTAAAGTAAAAATGATAAAGATATCTAAATGTCTTCCCAAAAAATTAAATCCTGTAATTACGCAGCAGCGACAAAGAAAGAAGTTAACAAAATTCAACACATTTTACGATAGAAAAATGACAGTATATTTTCGTTAGTTTTTAAGATTTGAAATTAATTTATAAAAATTCAAATTTTTTGAAATTCACCTTTTTTCCTGTCAGAGACAACTTAAGTGACCTTTTCTGAGTGGAATGTTCGATTTACAACGAAAACCTTAAAACCTTGGCCTGAATGCAGAGAACTCTGTGGGTTTATCTAAAAAATCATGCTGTTTAAATTGCCGGAAAACTGGAGTGCTACAATGCAGTACAGTATAAACTTTTTGAAAATACCGAATATGCTAGATGTCCATTGTCCATTGTCTAACGCGGTTTTTGAAAATTTAAAGGAAAATATTCTTTTAATCTTTTGTGACTTCTGGAAAAAAAATTATTTTTCTAAAATATAAACTGTTTTTATACAAAACGAGGGGAGAAAGGCAAGTCACACCCGTTTTACCTCCGACTTCCGGTCCAGATTGTGTGTTTTAAAATGACCGAAATTGATGAAAATGCAATTTTTACTTCAATCATATTTATTGAAAAGGAATATCTCCCGTTGAATTATAGCTTAAAATGTGATTTTGTTACGCATTTTATTCACAAATATGAAAAATAAATGCAGTTTTTTTTCAGATTTCATTAAAGATGTCTTTAAGTATGTTTTTCTCTCTGTTGGGAAAGTTTAGGTTGTCTCTCGTCACTGCCTATGGCTCTAAAAAAGCAAATGTAAAAATGGGTTAAAAATTGCAACTATAACATTGTCATTTGTTTAGCACATGCACTTATATGTAATATGGGAACCCAGCTTTACCTGGAAACTAAGTATTTTTTTTACAAAAGTCTAATCCACTTTAAAAAAAATGATTAACCAAGGTTAGAAATTTTATTAAATTTGAGGTAACTCGGTTTTGTAAAGGAAATTACAATATATCATATATTCCTGAAATCTAGGTTCTCCATCAAAAAGTCAACGCACTCAATTAAATGTAATTTAACCAAGTTACGTAGATTTCCACGGTTCTACCGATTTCCTCAGTTAAAATTCGAGGCAAATTGGTTATAGGGACTGTAAAGGAAAAATGAAACCTGAAAACGATACCTGTCTCGAGAAATTGATATAAAACTGTGTCAAAATTATACCAAAACAGGCATGTTCCAGATTTGGTATTAAAGTTGTAGTATTAAATGTACCATATTAAAAAAATACGCCACCAATATGAAAACGCCTACACACAACAGGAACCCGAGCCTCAGGTTTCAGCCTATACCCCCTTTCATTTTCCCTTTACAGTCCCTTTAAGGGGTATTTTAGTTATGCTTGGACATCCAAACAAACAAAAGGAAATTTCATCTTTATATAACTAGATATAGAATTTCATAAAAATGACATGCCTTTCTAAAGACAATATTTAAATTTCTGAGGAAAATCTTATGTTGTGAATACCCAGTATCTCACTGTTTCACACAATACTTAATTCTAAAAGTTTAAACTTGTTTTCACAATTCTATAAAATAATGTTTCAAAGTACAGACCTAACACGTGTCCTATGTCGGCTTGGTTTCAATTTTGATAGCGCGGTCAGACTTTTTTCAGTGCCCGGCCAATCATTGGCCTATTTGACCTTCCCCGCTAGCTTAGTTTAATTTGTGAACTCAATGCAATCATATTTTTTGAACATGTGTCATCAAAAAATTTCTCCGATTTTCCTGATTTTTTTTATTTATTTATGTAGGTTTTTTTGGGTGACATTTCATAAATCCGTACTGGGCATATAACATAATGTAAATGTAAATTAACGCATTGTATACAGTAGTAACTGAAAACTCCTGTTCATGTACTGTACTGTACCAACTCGGAACCAGCAAAACATGGTTGTACACTTTACAGCCAGTAATACGGAACCATACACTAATAGGGAGATTAAAGATAACACCAGGTGTGAATAGAAAAGATGTATCAAGAGAATTGATATTATGCTGTGAGAGGTAAAACAGGGGTACATATTTCTTTTTTAAAAATATCCCCCCCCCTCCAGTCAGGTATTTTATAAGAGGGTTATTTGCTGACTTGCTGAAAATAAATGATTTTAGGGGAAATTAGGTGGTTAAAAGTATAAAAAAGGACAAAAAACTTAAGCCTTTTGATTCAAATTTTTCGTTTTTTCTCCACGCAGATCTTCATAAATCATGAATCCCCCACCTCGAGGGGCAAGAGCAGGAAATTGTTAGAAATATACACCCCTGGGGTAAAATAATTGATTGTTGAATATCGACTGCAGCCATCTGTCACAAACAAGAAATATTAAGATGAGGAAGCAACCCTGCAGATTCCTGTGTACTGCACCGTGTTTACAAACAATGTCCTGAAGGTTAAACTGTTTATATTCCTCCAAGAAATTTCAGCACACTGTTTACACCAAGGTTATATCAAGAAAGAAATTGCTGGAAAATAGTCGGAATATTTTTTTGAAAATGTCTGCACTCGAAAAGAAAAATCCGCCATTATTTAAGAATAATGTAAAATGGCAGACTCTCAGTGTAATAGTTGAAAGCTAAAATTATTTATATAAAAGCCTAAATTTCATATAATCTAACTTTGGTATACAAAATCTGCTTTAAACACTACAATGAAACTACAATGACGATCTAAGTTAAAACTCATTAAAATATAAAATATAATGTAAGTTGATTCTTACAGTAATATTTCTTGATAAAAAGTCATAATATTGTTTTATATCAAATAGTATATTGTATAATTTGTCCACAGAAATATCCAAAGTAAACACCAAGCAATCATGGACGAACAGACATTATTTTAGAAATATAACTCTATCTATTTATCTTTCTATCTATCTATCTATCTATCTATCTATCTATCTGAGAGTTTCACCTGCGAAGTCGTGTAAGTGTGACGTATATATTCATCTTGGTTCAGTCAACCTTTACTATTCTAAACCTTAATAGATACGTCATACAGTATATATAAACCGTATAAGTATGTATGTATAAAAGGAACTTAGCTCACTCCACTAGACTGAAAGAAATAGTCAAACTTGTGTGATTACTGGTACGGCGTTTTTACCTCGTCGCTCTTCTAGTACTGATATTGCACATACCTCTATGAGAGAAATAGGTAATCCTTTGGTTTCATCTCAGAGATTAGAATTATATTAGTTTTTCTTAAAAGCTATTCAACAAGAGGGGAATTATGATAAAAAACATGTAACAGAACTGAATTCTTGCCACAAACTCAAATTTACAAATACTGATATCAAAAGTCATAGATTGCAATGTAAAAGGTCTACAACATCAGGTTTCTAAGATATATGGATTAGAACACTAAAGTTTGTAGTGAGTGTTCAGTTTCTTCAAAACTAACTTGAAATTTACTTTATTTGACGTGCCTCTATCAGAGAGTACTTCAGTTTCTTGAAGGAATACATATTATGTAAAAATAAACCTACGCCAGATCAGCGCTGAAACCTCTTCAACACAAAATATTTCCGGAATAATATATTTATTTTCTCAATTTTCTTGCTTCGTTTTTATTTTAAAGGAGAACTCCAATGTAAAATTTTTAAGTTTTGCCCCTGAAACTTTGCTGAGACAACGATGTAAAGAGTAGCATTGTGAATAGGACATGTCATTTTCAAGTGGAGGTTCCTTTATAATCACATTGACAGACCCTTAAAGACCATGCTTTATTTTCGTGGATAAGAGAAAATTTTGTAAAACGTAATATCAGGAAGACAGTACTTAAAGACGTTGCAAAAAAACGCGGTTAATACATTCAAGATATATAATCATGCAATTTAAAAAAAAAGAAATATGAATTGTTGAACCCTTAAAAGGGCGAATTTATGTTAGTGAAAAGTGTATATATCTAAAATTCTGTCCTTTAACTTTTTTAGAAAAGTTTAATATAAATCAGCGTTTGAAGAAAAAATGCGTGAAATATTTGGTTTGATGGCGTTGCTGCAGCTGATGCAGATGAACAGCTGGGTAGAATCCAAGATGGAGGACGTTTTTAGTTCAACAGCTGAGTTAGCAAATCTTCACTCAGGAAACAGACTAACTAAAACTAAAATTATTTGATTGTTTTCTTTCAAAAAACATGTTTTCACCAATGGGCTTTTCTACCGATATCAACTCATGTGATATTATTTATTATTTATTTGTTTATGAATTATGACACTTTTCTCTTGCTTAATCATAATCCTAGCTTGGGAACCCAGCTTTGCCCAAGGTAGTTATAGTTAGTCCCACCGTTTACCCGCGCTTTGTAGTAAATTACGATTTTAGCTTTTTTCCCCTATAGAAGTGGACCCGCTCAATTTAGAATATCAATAGTTAAAAACATTTCTATGGCTCTATTGAGTTCCCCAATCAAAATTTGAGACAAATCGGTACAGGGGCTCCTGAGTTATGATCTGATAAATAAACAAACAAACAGACACCCATACAAAATGAGATTACAACTTTATATATAAAGATGATACATATTGGATATATATTGCTTTTTCAAACCAAAATTGAGATCATTATGTCTTAAATAAACTAAATCAATATATATAATGTAGTAACCTCTGTTTGTGTGTTTGTTTGTTTGGACCCCAGCTTTGACTGGAAACTAAAATTTCACTGTAAATATGTCAAACCACTCAAATTCATATTTTAACCAAGCTAAGAACATTCCCGTGGTTTTCCCGAGTTCCCCAATCAAGATTTGAGGCAAATCGGTGAAGGGATTCGTGAGTTATATGATCGGACATCCAAACAGATTATTTGAAATATATAGAAACAACATCATGTCTTATCATGAATCAAGATTTTTTTCTTCCAAGACAAGGGTCCTATCTCATAATACTTATATTAAAGGGAAACTTTGATGAATTTTAGGAGTGGTTCGATATTAAATGAATCGAATAAAAAAGGTAGCCATTAAAAAAAAATATTTAAAAATGAAAACGAAAATCCTCTTAACATCAAACTAAAAACTGATTGCTGTAAACACTGTATTTCTAGATCACAACTAATATGTAGATAATAAAATTGTAATATTTTTGTTCAAATTATACAAAATCCTTACATTTCTGATTACTGGGGTAATGGTTTATGAAAGATACTCAATTGCAAATACATGACTTTACTGATCCGTATTTCAAAGTGTTGCGACCTTCGAAAGTATTTCTGGAATCTGGGAAGACTAAACTTTATACTCGAATGGTGTTCTATAGCAATAATTTTCATCATCATACTAAGAGAACTTTGAAATCCCTTTAATGTGCAAATAAGAATAAAAAGAAGGAATTTAATTTTAAAGAAAAACTTTTTGTTCTCATATTTTATACATTAATGTATTTTTCGTGGAACAGGGTGAAAAATACATTTCAGACTTTTTGTGCAAAATAAAAATAAAGATTGAAATAAGTTCCATTCTAAATATCTAAACCGTTTTTCTAAACCCCTTTCAGTGGATAAAACGTGTTAAATTTTTAGTGCATTTGAATGAATAACAATGGTTAACGAATTTTTATGTGAACGATGGCGTGGTTCAGAAAAAAACGAACGATAGACGAACGACTTAGATCGTTCAAAGAATTATCCTTTTTTAAACAATCTATCTTTTTAAAAAAAACGATAAAGAATACAGACTTGAAATAACAAAAAAAAATTTACTGATCGAACGAATTTTCCAAAACTTAAAAAAACTATAGTTTTTTTGAACGACTGATTTGTAAACAAACTTTTAAAAAAACCATTGTTTTTTTTACTAAACGAGTGAATTTATTGAACGATCAATGCCACAGAACGATCGTTCAGTAAGAAAATGAACGAAATAGATAAAAATAATGAAACCAATTTTGTTGAACGCTTGAAAAAAACAAACACAAACGAAATGGGTCTTTCATAAACGATGAACGAACGAAGTAAAAAATACCATCCCACCCATCTCTAGTTCTCACTGTGTACTTAAACCACTACTTATCTAGATTTAAAATGTTTATAAAAAGGAAATGCCATTTATCTTCTTCTCTAGATTTAAAGTGTCTATAATAAGGAAATATCATTTATCTTCTTCTCTAGATTTAAAATGTTATTTGAAGGAAATATCGTTTATCTTCTTCTCTAGATTTAAAATGTTTATATGAAGGAAATATCATTTATCTTCTTCTCTAGATTTAAAATGTTTACATGAAGGAAATACCATTCATCTTCATCTCTAGATTTAAAATTTTGACCTTTTATTAAAAGGTTTATTTTACTATCTATACAAAAAAACAATTTGAAAGTACGTTAATAAATATTTTCATAAAATTTTGCTTTTATGGAGTTTTAAGGAACTTCCATAGTTGTTTCACCATTGCATTTTTAGCTTTAGAATTTCAAAACTTGACGGGCATCATAATATGCATTATTAGGAGTTGAGTTCAAAAACCGGTTTGATATTCTATATTCACAAACAATATATTCGCGAATTGGACAAATTGAAAACCGACATTTTTGAGCATTTTCAAGCTCACAAAATATTTAGGCCCTATCGGTTCAACCGTTTTAACCCCTACTGGATATAAACTAAAAGAGAAAAACTAATATGTTTAGCTAGGGGTGTATCTATAAATGATGAGACTTTACAGTTGATTAGTAGTTAATCAAATATTCCCTGCAATTCTAAACTTATTGGACACATTATTCAATATATCATTAATAAACTATATTAAATATTAAAGGCATCAAGTATACCCAATCGTCATTTTTAACGGGGTTTAAGACTCATTCTTTGTGTGTAATCCTGCATAGTGTAGAAAGATGTGCACAATTTACATCTGGGGGCGAAAACGTCAATGGGGTGGGGGTGTACCAAAAGAGTGTGCGTGTCTGTGTAATACAGTAGAGAAGAATCTTGATATTTGTAAAGTCTAGGAGAGTACATTTGTTTATTGTTAATTGTTTACTTAAAAATAAGCTTAATATACATGTAATATATTATTTATGTATTTAAGTCAAAATACTATATAAGAGAAATTTTCATGCAACGAATAGAATTTGAATAAAGTTTACAATAAACTACTCGTTATTAAAGCTTAATATAATTGACGATATTGTTCTGCACTTTCCTTGACTGTAGTCATGTGTGTGTGTCTTTACCAAAGCGGTGTGCGCGTGTGATAAGGAACCCGTCTGCAAAGCAGTGCGACTGGCTTTCTCATGCCAGACCAGCGCTATTTCCATTCTCTTAATTCTTGTTCCATGATTTACATCCTTATTGTAAGTGTTTATCTGTGAATTCAGTGGAGAAAGAACTGTTACAGTACATAAAAGAATACAAAAAAGAGCTCGAGGAGAGCATCAAGAAGATAAAATCATCAGGAAAAGTTTTTTAAATAAGTTTTTAAATAAAATATATATTAGAGTGGGATTTAGAAAATCCTTCGGTATGAATTTTGTCAGTCCCTTTCAACCTGAAAGGGAGTTCAAAGTGTACAAATCATGTAAATGTTTACAAATTATATGCAGTAGAGTACATTAATACAGTATGTAAGTTCCCTAGACTATCCATTTCAATTTTGAATTTTTTAAAGCTGTTAAATAAACTTAATAAAATGAATTAGTGGAATAAAAAACATCATTTGATTTAAAGTTATAACGGAAAATCATCGTTCGTAAAGTGAAACGCATAAAGTCTATGTGAAATGATTATTGGTAAGTTATTTAACCAGCCTATTTCATAATTTGGTTTTCTTTTAATATTAATTTCAGATTTTTCTATAAAATGATGTTCCAGGGCCCAAAAGGTTTATAGCACAAATATGTGAAGCACACCAGCAGTATGGAAACAGTACAACAAAATGGCCGTTTTACACTTTTTCTAGTAAATTCCACTCTAATATATTTCTATTCTCTTTGTTTAAAGGTGACAATTGAAACTACGGTCAAACAACAATTTTAATTGCTATGAAAAGTAGAAAGATAGAGACTGGTAAGGGGGGGGGTCAAACTTGTTACAAAAGAATAACCCCTTGCTATTCATTCACAAAATCTCATCTGTGAACAATTTAATTTAAAATTTCAGAAATTTATATTTGAAAATTTATTCTATGAAGTGTTGTCAAGGGTGAAACCAAGGTTTATTAAATTCATTAAGATTTAATTATTTGGCTTCAAGCGCTAAAAGTTTAATAAGTTTTCGTCATGTAGTTTTCATTTCATGTCAGTTTTGTTCATCTTTAGTAAAAAGAAATTATGTTTATGCAGCAATTCAATGTGGGTTCAAAAAAGCCTTGCTTAAGAATTTGTATCTTTTTTGAAAATATGAATTTTGTGAAATGATGTTGAATTTGAATTTAAATAGTTTTTTTTTTTTTAACAATTCAATGTGGATTTTATCCCTTAACTGGCTGGGGATCGAACGCCCCCCCCCCACTTATTTTTTGCCTTAAAAATTGCTTGACTGTAAGTCTATAATGGTTGGGATTCTCAGCCTTTATAAAGTTTTAAAAAATCTTAGATTCGGGATTTTTTAGATTATGACATTTTTTATTTTATTTTTATCGATGAAAAACTTAAACAATAGATGATCTTAGTCTACCTATTATTCACCCAAAGTTCGAAGGTAAGCCGATTTTTTAAAATCAAACTAAACTTTTAGTTATTCCTATAAAAAATCATGTATACCTTGAAAAATTACATTTTTACTTTTTTAAAGAGAATTTCTTTTTATTCTGTTTTTTTTACTAAAGTATTTGATTAAAATATTGATAAGAATATAATTTTAAAACTCCTGAGTCGGCGATTTAAAAAATTCAGGAAAATGCGGCTCGGGTCTAAGCTGTCATTGTGCCTTATTTACGGCTTGAGCTTTCGGATTCAAGCTGCATCTTATTTTTAACGGAGTTGAGTTCAAAAACCGGTTTGATATTCTATTTGGCGGATTTTCACGGTAGGAATTGGCGCATTCCGGATTTTTATGAGAACAAGATTCAACATTGAGCCTTATCTCCACTAAAACCAACCAAGGTCAATTTCTTTTCATTGGGTCGAGCCGAAGACCTTGCAGCTGTCAATCTCGTGACACAAGCTGTCGTCAGAGTTGGGTCTAAGATTGGGTCTAAAAGTCGGGTTTAAGGAATTACGACTCGAGTCGAAGTTTTTAAATCGCGAGCTCTGATTAGTTCCTTAAATTGTTAAGAATTGGTTGAGGGGCTTCCTGAGCTGAGTGAAGTGGAAGGAGGAGGAAATGGGATTTTCTTGTTGCAGGTCATATAAAGTTTTTTTTTCCGTCAGAGCACGTTTTCTTACAAACATGTTTTTTTCTAACGTTTTCAGTTTTAGATAACTTTTCGGCATAAACATCTCATGTTGTATCACGTTTTACTTTTTATTTTTAGCACGTTTTATCGGCATAACTTGTTTTTTTGTCATAGCACATATTTTCAATTTAAGCTTTTGTACAGCAAAACAAATTCAAGATTGATCAAGTTTTTTTCTTTAAAGTAAGCTTTTATTTGTAAAAGTTAAGATTTTCTGTCATATCACGTGTTCAGTTATAGCACGTTTTATTTGCATAGTTTTTTTTCGGCATAGTACTTGTTTTGTCCTAGAACGTTTTTTATCATTAGCTTTACTTTAAAGGATAACACATTCATGATAAATTAAGTTTTTCGTTAGATTAATTTTATATTTGTAAAAGTTAAGGTTAACGCCATAGATATATAAAAGAATGGATATCATAGATAAGTTTTGATGCAATTTTCTGGCTGGGGTGTCATGCAGTATATTAAACATTAGACCCTTGACTTACAATTTGTCTGCGATTTTGTAAAAATAATAGGTGGTTTAGAAACATTATAAATCTTTAAAACTTGGTAAAATTTAGCCTCCTTCAAAGAAACTGTCGAAGATACTAAAGATTTAAACAATATTGACAGTATTTTATATTTTGAATTGTAAACACATTTCTCAATACCTCAGTCAATTTTTAAGGTACAAAAATAGCAGACCACTTTTTGGAAATCCCAAATCAAGGAGAATTTGATGCTACTATAATGTCTTTAGAGGCAAGAATGAACGATGAACTGCATAAACATTTGAAAGAGTGAAACCTTAAGCATTGCAAAGATTTTAAATATGTTACTAAAAATCTAAGGTCCTCTAAGCTATATCAGCTGTGAAGCCCATCTCAAAGTATGTACAAACTCAAGATATATAATGTTTTTACGGTAATTTTAGTTTTTTATTGTAAAACTAAAGTGTTTCGACATTGTACGTTTTTTGTTAAAGAATGTTTTTTTTGCATTACTCGTTTTTTTTCGTTATAGAACTTATTTTAGTTATTTTAGCATTTTACAGGTGTAACACGCTTTATAAATATATGTGTTGCATAATATATAGATTATATATTACTTTATATATGTGTTGTACTACATCTACATTATGAACTTTTTATAATACATCTAGGTTATGTACTTTTTATATTACATATAGATTATGTAATTCTTTAAAGTTGCATATATATGAAAATTACAATATACATAACATAAATTATGCTGTTCCTTCACAATTTTTTTAACGAAGTTATTAAAATTCTAAATGTGGACTCTTTAACCGTTTGTTTTTATAGACATTTTTTATAAAGGAATTGAGCTTTTACCACAAACTTTGATTTTCTAATCCCCATATCTTTGCAACCCAATATCGTAACTATGAATTCTGTTAAAACTAGAAATATCAAAGGTATACACATCAGGGTGCAAAGATATAAGGATTATAAAATATTATTTTGTGACACAGACTTTATTTGTTTAGGAAGTGTATCAGCTGAACTCAAGTTTGCTGAGTGAAGGAAAAGTAAGATTAAACGAAGAAGAATATTCAGCAAAGCATTCACTTGCTTATGCAGACATTGAATTTGTTGCCAAACTTGCTTATAACAGGTCAGTCTTTTTAACCTTTCCACTGCACTATATCTTTTAAAAAGTCGTCAATGCTTACTATTTAATTTTGGGAGCACTGTACCTTTATAAGAAGTTGTCTGCATTTACATTGTATCGTGTACAATTAAGGTGAAGAAAAAATTACAATTCTTTACATAGCCTAAAAAGACCATAAATAAAATTCCCACGCCACCCCAAACCTGAATTTTTTTTTACATCCTTTTCCCACGTACAGCACCCAAAAACAACAATGATCAGTGTAGTTGATTAATTAAAATCTAACGTGCCTTTTACTCCACCTGTCCTGACCGGAAAGGAATGAAGTCTACAAAAACCCAAAATTTTTAATTCCTATATTTTTACAATCTGAAAGTGTATTTCAAACTTAAATTAACTGATCTAACCGAATTCATAGTTTGAAATATCCAAGGTTTACAACATTGGTGGAAAAAATATAAAAATAAGAAAATCAGAGTTTGTGGCAAAAACTACATTGCTTTTGATCATTTCTGTGCGCGGAAACTTCTAAAACCAATTTTAAAAATTTCCTCGGAACTTGTTTATAAAAGATATGCATGGCCGCGATCAAGAGTTTCAAATTTAATTCAGTAAGCAGTACGTGTCTTTTTAACTACAGCGAGATACATTTTCGCGAAAATGTAAAAATTAAATTTTGTTTTCCAAGTTTTCTCAGTTATTTTCGGGAAAATTAGATTCAAAATAGTTGTGACGTCAATACTTAAATCTTCTGATTTGACACAAGCTCAATGAAATTGAATTATTAATTGAATTAAATGAATATATCGAATATTATAATTTTAGTCATTTTAATGAGGTTTTATAAATATCTGATAACCTTGGTCAAAAACTACCTTAGACCAATCAAAATTAATTTTTTAAAGAATTTTTTTTTCAGAGGATTTTATGATCGTGCAGTGGAATGGTTTACACTGGCCGCTAGTAAACCAATGCATAAGGAACAACATTTAATTATAAATATTTTTTTTTGAAAATCCGCTTACATCGATTGATTGATAAAATTTTCTGAAGAAACTTCGAAAATATATACATACAAAATACATACATACAGTCGTCGGTTTGTGATGACTTTGACTGAACAAGGATCTCGGACATAATTGTATTCAACTACTGAAATGCTTTTAATTGCTAAACACTATGTTATCAAGCTGTTATGTATTCAAGAAATATCAATAATTACTTTCTAACAGTGACAGAAAATAAAAATTTACTTTAGATTGTTTGAAATAATGAAAACAATTGTAAGTTACGCTATTTTAGTACTATATCAGCTGTTTGTGTTCAGACTACACATCGTGAAGTCGCGTTTTAGAGAATTTCAATAGGGTTTTGATATGTTTAAACAGAAAGATCTCTCTACTCAATAAAAAGTTGAAAGTGTCAGGGTACCGTTGTGAATTGTGCCTAGCCCTTTTTGCATGGAAGGACACTTGAAATTGCGCTTACAGTCCCTTTAATCATATTTGAAAAATATCTAAAAACAATGTTGAACCGAATAGAAGGAAAAACTCCGAGTGACCAAGCTCCTTGCAACAACTATAAAGAAGCATGATCTGGTTTTAGATAGGTAAACAATTATAAATAAGTCTCACATATTCTTTAATTACTAGGCTTCCAGACAGTTTTGTCTCCCTTTTCTAGTAACAATTTTAGCTGTTAATAAGCTGCTATTCTTTTTTGAAAGTCGTACTCGTATTTTGTGGATTTTTGTGTTTAAATTTTAAAATAACAAATATAGACAAATTTTTCGGGAAAAATCTGAGTTGTCCCATGAAATTTTGGTCGTTTTGACGTTTTTCGGACACAGACTCACAGAAATCCTGACAAACAAGCAAATAAATACAGATTGATAAAAATTCATAATATTATTTTTTTTAAATTCAAATAAAAAACTGAGTATTTCAAAACTTTGATTGGTTTCTCGTTTCATCTTAATAAGATTCAATTTCGCGGATTTGTTGAAATCAAATTATGGCCTTTCAAATGCTCTAAACTTCAAATATACAGGGTGTCCCAATAAACATTAACCAGCAACTCTCTAGAAATATACAGGGTGTCCCACTAAACATTAACCAACATTCCTCTATATATATACAGGGTGTCCCGATAAACATTAACCAACAACCCTCTAGAAATCTACAGGGTGTCACACTCTAAACATTAACCAACATTCCTCTAAATATACAGGGTGTCACACTAAACACTCAGTTTAAAGATTGTAATATTTTAGACTAAAGCGCGATTGAATTCAAATTAAAGAAACCGAACACATCTCTCCCTGGTTAGTCCAGGGTGAGTAAAGAATCAACCGTAGATGTCGAGAAGCTATTAAGAAAATCCCGCAAATGTTTTAAATTTCTAAAACAGATACATTTTCTCTTCTCATACTTGTGCATGAAATCAAAACTAGAGGAACCACTGGCCCAGAGGGCTCAAAGTCGCGCAAGTATAAACTAGAGGAACCACTGCACTGCCCCAGAGGGCACAAAGTCGCGCAAGTATAAACTAGAGGAGCCACTGCCCACGAGGGCACAAAGTCGCGCAAGTATAAACTAGAGGAGCCACTGCCCACGAGGGCACAAAGTCGCGCAAGTATAAACTTTGCCCTCTCCTTCTGTCTAGTTGACAGTGCGTATACACTCTTGGATTCGAACTACCAACACGTTATAAAATATATTTAATTGTTCAGAAAGGGATCTGAGGGGTCAAGTAGATCAGAAACATGGCGGACCAATCCCCTTCCCTTCGATCCAAATCTCAGGAAACAATCAAATAATCTATTTTCTTTAATGGTATCAAAAAATATCTTCTTGAAAATAATTTTGACTGTTAAAAATTGATCTTTTGGCGCCACCTTTTTTGGAACTTTTAAATTATAAAGTTCCTAAAGCAATGTTGAAATTTGTAACTGTTTTAAAGGACATATTTTTCAAAATTCTGAGGTCACACATTAAAATAATCAGTAACAAATTACAAATTCCGTGAAAAACAACTTATTCTAAACGAATTTTAGAAATAATAGAACCTTTCCAATAATATTGTTTATTATAACAATAAAATACAGGTCAGCTAGTTGTTGTTTTACAATTTTTCAATAAAATTATACTTCCTATTATTTCATTTGCAATAAGGTATCTAAAAATATATTATTTCATTTGCAATAAGGTATCTAAAAATATATTATTTCATTTGCAATAAGGTATCTAAAAATATATTATTTTATTAGTTTAGAATTTACAAACTAAACAGTTTTGATCTCGATCATTCAAATTAAATGTGACTAAATTAAAAAATATTGAACTTAGGAAAAAATATTGTTTCAAATGAATGAAAAAAGCAGATAAAATTACAAGCATGCAATGTGTTATGTATTTTATATATTTGACCGCAACGCTCGACCCCCTATACTAGCTGCAGAGCTCGTCTCCTAATCCTAACCCAGCTTTATCTGAATTAAGGCGAGATATTTTACATGCAGAGCTGATAACTTTTTATCCTGAACCATTGATCCCAATATTCACAATGGACACTTTAAAACTGTATTCTTTCATATTTTTTTTATTACTCCTCCTCTGATCAAAGCTACATTAAACCCCTAAATAAGTCGGATTATAAGAATACAAGAGTTTGCAGCTCAGTCCAGATTTTTTATAATCACAAAAAAGTTAATCATTTAAAGTAGTACGGTTTAAGAAAGTGTAATTTTATTGGAAATTTCATTAAAGCAAGTTTAAATTTTTAGATGTAACTCAGTCGATGTAGAAAACGAAATTTTTCCATCGACCATAATTTTTACAAATGAGGAAAATTTAAAGTTTCTGGTAGACCTGACAAACTGTTTAATGCACATATCAGAAGAAAGAAAAGTTGTCCTTTGTAGAGATAGTTCTTCAATATCTTTATCTGATTGTAATGCATTGAAGAAAGAAGAAAAAATTCAAGGGATTTGACTTTCAATATTTCGTGTTTTTAGACAAATATTTTTGAAAATTTGACATCGCACTTGTAATCAATTTTTTCATTTTCACTAAACTCCCCAGTCCCCTCTTCACTTCCATACCTCTAGATGGTGTAGATTAATCTTTGAATTAAATATAACCTCAGGTTTAATTTATTTTATCGAGTTTAGGATGGAAGACAGGAGATTTATTCTGATTCTTTGGAAATAGAAATGTTTACTTTACTCTTAACCCAAAAGAGAATTGTCCTTGGCTGCCCACCCCGGCTTCCTTTTTGAAATTTTTTTTTAGCTTTTTAAAACTTTTAAGAGAGATATTTTATTTTTTTTAAATATGTTAGTTTGAAATATTTTCATTAGGGATTTTTAAATAAGTTGATTAAATAAGTTGAAATTTTCTAACAAGCCTGGTAAAGTTCTGGGCAATCTAATATTTATATCAAATTTTTAAAATACATAACTTTATATTAATGATTCGATATCACCCAGCACTCTTTCCCAGTCTATTAGGATTAATATACAAGAAATAAATCTCAATTTAATCAAATCAGATTGGTAGAGAATTGGAAATAGAAAAAACCTTTTGCAATATTTTAAGGCGATTGTACAGGGTTAACCACAAAAAATGAGACTCCAGAGACGAAGCTGTGCTGAATTTACACAGCCTGTTTTCTTATATTCATGATTCCCTGCAATTGTAAACTTGTTTCTTTTTTGCTAAATCATATAATAAGCTCTAAAAGGCTAAATAAAAGGTAGACAACTTAATTTTACCTTTGGATCGTCATATTTTAAGAGTTTTAGGTCGTCTCAGAGTCTCATCATTTGTACATTTTACAAGACTAAAACAATCCTGTTTAAACAAATCAAAATTTAATTATAGAATAAATTATTAAATTCATATTTAAAGTAAAAGTTAAAAATCTAGAAAACAGCAGCAAAACAGCCAGCAGATCAGGTATGTTTTAAACAGATTATATATGGGTTATTTAAATTGATTGGAGATTCTAATTGTGACCCTTCATTCCTAGATCCAAAGAAATTAATTATTTTCAATATAGGGTTTTCTTATAAGTTACAAGCGCATTTATGCTGCAAAGACAACGCAGGAAGCTATGAGAATCCAACGACAATTGTTTCCTTATTGCATGTCACTCAGAAGTAGGTTTGAAGGGTACCGTTGTCAATCGGACATGCAGAGTTCTTATTGCTTTTTCAGATTTATCTTTTCCTTGCAAATGCTTAATTTTTTTAAAAAGATGTTTTGTTTCTAAATGGGTTTAGAGTTGTTTACTGTTACTACAATTATATTGTTTGTTAAGGAAAGTAATGACTGGAAAACTCTAATAATACAATTATATTGTTTGTTAAGGAAAGTAAAGACTGGAAAACTCTAATAATACAATTATATTGTTTGTTAAGGAAAGTAAAGACTGAAAAACTTTACTTCAGTTATATTTGTTATTGAAAGTAAAGAATGGAAAACTTTAATACAATTAAATTGTTTTTAAGGAAAGCAAAGATTGGGAAAACTTTAATAGATTATGTCGAGGAGAATATAAAGAGGATAAATCTAACAAGGAGAATATTCAGCAATTAATTGCTTCTCAAATTGTTAACTAACAAAATTACAAAAGGGACTGTAAGCTTAATTACAAGTGACTCTCCAACACTCCTGTATGCCGAGTCCATTAGCGCCTGATCCAATCAGGGTTCATGTGTTTGATGTCTATTCTGAACCAATAGAAATAGTTTGGCGGTAACATCTATCTTTCTTTCTATTTCATTATCCAATCAGAGTTGTGAATCCTTCAATTGACGCTATCTGTAAATGGAAATATGTACTTCTACTAAAATTATGGTGGCAAGCGCAGATTCACAACAATACCCGTCATTCTCTGATCAAGTATGAGTTAGATTAGAAGACTGATTATTTTCAATTGTGGTTGCTGTAGGAAAGTGACTTTTGTCCAGGAAAACATATAGGAATGATCAGATTTTAACACTTCAAACCTAGAAAAAGAACAATATATTCCACATTATTTATCAGATATAGGTTTTAAGGGTACCGTTGTGAATCGGTCATCTTTACTTTAGGACACCATGAAAGAAATAAACTTTAAATGCTAATTTCCATCGAGTTTTGCTTCATACAATTCAAATAGTAGATATTTATTATGTATAAAAACAAGACCTTAAATAGGTTTCTAAAATGTGTAATACATATTTTTGGTGATATATTTCCCTACTCTATTTCTAGTTGTGCAGTGTGCATGTTTATCAAAACATGCCTCCAGTTTAAAGTTTAAATTAGTTTGTACGAATTTTTCTCACGGGGTTGAAAGTTTTCTCACGGTCACAACATTTTTCACATGTGCCTAAATAAAGCTGCAATTTTGGTCAGTGCAGTATGGACGAAAAATAAGCAAACACAATGAGTGTGGATAAATAATTGATTCAATATAAATGAATGCATTAAAAAGGCTGATTGATACATACATAAGAATAATTAATGAATAACGAATATGGATTTATACATTCAGATGAATAATGAATATTAATGAATATGGGTCTGTGCATGAATGAATTTCTAAGTTGTTAAAAAGTTGAATATTTTGGGCAGGATCTGAAGTCCTACTATCTGCACTATCAGGTAAACAATTATTAATCCTCTTAAAGGGACTGTAAAGGAAAAATGAAAGGGGGTATAGGCTGAAAGCTTATCACTTATTCTCTTGATCGTGACCCATAAAAGTTAAATCTGATGTTCCTATCTCGAGAAATTGATATAAAACTTTGTCAAATTTATACGAAAATTAATATATATACAATTTTGTATAAAAGTAGTGGGTTTAAATAGATAAAATTCAGCAAAAACGCAACCAATCTGAAAACGATGATATCCCAGAGAAAGCTAATTGTAACTTAGGTTTACTCCAATTATAATTTTATATTTTTTATTTCTATTTTTAATAGATTCAATTCTTTATATTATTTACACGTCCGTTTTACTTGACCAGAAATTCCACCAATTGCAGTGCAGTAAAGTGGTCAATTGATACAGGCGGAGACACGTGACCAGTATACTGCTCTGCCATTGGTGATAGTTCTGGTCACGTGATTTAAGTTTTAGATTTTCTAAATTTTACATACATGAACTTTCGTATAATTTTAACACAGTTTCATATCATTTTCTCGAGATAGGAACACCAGAAAAAAACTTTCATGGGTCACGATCAAGAGCTAAAGTAATAAGCTTTCAGCCTATACCCCCTTTCATTTTTCCTTTACAGTCCCTTTAATGAGTATATAATTTTAAGTGACCCTCCATGCAATGATGACAATGCCCGATCTACGACGACCTTTGAAATCTTAATATGATCAAAAATGTAGAAGATACTGACGTTTTTCTGATTCGAAAATATTTCAATTCTGTGAGTTTCTTCATTGCTCCTTTTAAGCAAGAAATGCTCAAGTCCTTTTGCAGAAAAACCGCAAATGACATAAACAGTTTAAAGAAATCGTGTATTTAAATATAGGGACACTTGAAACTATCTGTCACTGTTATCTTCTACATGATATTATTTATAATTATTTGTTAGAACCCGTATCTCATGCTCGGGCCTTGGAAGTTAGATGTACAAAGCAACTTTCCTTTTATTGCGGTTTTTAGGTAAGCACTTTAACACAATATATTAAAGGGTAATGGTATTCATACATTCAAGAATAAAAAGCTTTATATGCATTATGCAAAAATGAATTATGTATATTATTTTGAAATATATGCATAAACATTTTGTAGAAGGATGGCTTAAAACAAAATATGGCTCCAGTAAAATTCTAGCAAACTTGTTTAGAGCTCAAATCGTTGTAATTTCAAGTTATCCTCGATCATTGTATTCATTCAATGCCAGATTCACGACAGTATCTTAAACCGTATTCTGATTAACAAAACAATGTTGAAGAAATCGTCGTTTTTTAACATTGAAAGTGTTTATTTTGCGAAAATTCCACAACTTTTCTGTTTCGCAAGAAATCCGCAAGTTCCTTGTTTAAGAAACCAGAATTTAAAATACCCAATTTTTTAAAGAGAAATCTATATGAATCAGAGATGCCACTCTTTGCGTGGCTGGTCCCTTGACATTACGCCTACAGCTCCCCTTTTATGCTTTTAAATTATGTATTTCTAGGGGATTTCTGTATGACGAAGAGATGAACCATTATACTGACTATGCAATGAACAAACTATTTAGGTACATTTCATTTTCTAAATAATCCAGAGAACACCCGGCCCTTATCTAGTTTCATTTCTTAGTTTTCATTTTTTACTTTGAACTTTTTGTTATTGGGGTCTCAACTCAATTTTAATCTAGTATTTGTTTGTAGCGGTTTAACAGTTGATATTTGCAGTGATCTATTTATATATATATATATTCGGCTTGTCTGTCTGTCTTTTTTAACTCAAATTTTCCATGGCTACTCCAGGGACCGCAAAACTTAAAAGATTGAAAAATGTGACCCAGAATAAATATCGACATTTATTATATATGAAAATGCACCAATTTTAACAAAAAATTCCCCAAAAAATTAAGAAATTGAAAATGGCGATTTTTATAAGTTAAAACTATTAATTTAAAGGCGGGCGCGAAACACTCTAAAAGCCTAATTATTTATAAAACTTGTTCAAGCCAATTACAATCTAGTTAAAGGTGTTTATCATCAAATTCCAGGGAAATAAATGAATAATATCTTTTTAAGGGTCTCTTTTACTGTTCAGATTTCTATGAAAGTTTTTTAACGGTACCAACCATTAATTTTAATAAAATTAGAATTGAAATTAAGTTAATTTTTAAAAGTATATGTTGACTATTTTTGCTATATTTTTATTAAAAAAACAATTGATTTCATTTTTATCTGTAATTGAAAAAAAAAACTTTTCCGAAAATACATTAAACGACAATAAAAGATAAAACCAAATTTTATCAATTTATCCAATATTTCGGGAATTCCTAAATTAAATAGAACCCAATACTTATTTTCAAAATTTTAAACAATTTTAACATTTCCTGAATTTTCCTGGTAGAAAAACATTCTATGAGAACCTTGCTATGAGATAAAGAGGGAGGAAGGAAGTATAAATTCAAAGAAAAAAGGATTTCTACAGAATTTTATTTAAAGAAAATCAGATTTAATTCCAATATTTAGTCAAAGGAACATTTGCATTTTTCTTAAAAAAATAAACAATTTCTAGATCTGATGTTTTTGCAAAGTTTAAAGGGACTGTAAGCGATATTTTTAAGTGGCTTCCATTTAAAGAGAAAGTTCGAATGTAAATATTTATATTCTATAACTTGGATCTAGAAAGTAGATAAAATATTTCTAAAATATAAAACTGCTTGCAAACAAAGTGTTCAACGTTAAACAGGAGTTTCTATAGACACAAAGTCTGCCATATTTAATCAGTTAAAGGTTTAAGGGGTATCGTTGTTAATCGGATATGCCATTCTTTAAATAAAAGTTCACTTGACATTACGCTTACAGTCCCTTAAGAGTAGTCAAAACAACCGTAGATGACAATTTTTGGCATTCTCAAAGCCAAAGACATTTATTTATACAAACATTTAGGGCAGTTTCGAATTTTGGCTTTTAATTTTCTATATTGAATTTAGATCTGAATATGGTGGTTCAGTAAGTCAGGGTGGAACTATAAAAGGAGTTCAAAGAACAAGGTTTGTACAATATATTTATATATATTTTTTATCGGATAAATATTCATTGATCAATTGCGTACTAGGTACTATCGATTCTCATAATTTGATAAATCTGGGTTGTTTAGAGAGCTCTTTGCATTTGTTTTGGCTTTGTTAAAGGGAGTGACCGGCAATTTATGGTATTTGAACTGAGAAATTTTTTAGGATTCAGTTGAAACTGTATGTTTTAATGAAGTACAATTACTGAGTTTGGGCGCAAAGTCGACGTTTAAAATCATCCATTCGGGTGGTTACGTTTTGAAAATCGATTTAAAAAAAATTTTAATTAAATGTTTAGGAACACATTTCTCGATAGTCATTTGTCAATAAATTAATGTTAGAATCATTGATTTATTTTTCATCATTGTTTTGAATTTCTTATTCTTTTTGAATATGTTCGCAGATTTATACAAATTCTCCAAATGTCGTCTTTCAATAAAAATTCTAGATAATCTACAGATTGTTTGTGAACAATGAGACATTACAGAAACCAATAACTGAATAAGATTACTTATTTTCGATGAAAAGAGTTAATTTTATTTTTTTAATCTGTTCCTTAACAACTAATTGGTTTTCTGTAAAATTGTTGTTAAATTTTTTATCGTCGTTATTTTATTATTAAAAAAAAATAGATTCTCAAAACGTAACCGCTTAGATGGATGACTTTGAACGTCGACTTTGCGCTCAAAAACAGTAATTATATATCATTAAAAAGCTTTATATGTCTCAAATGAATTAAAAAATAATTTCTCCACAATACTACGTTCTCAGTTAAACTATCTTACATCACACGTCAAACTAATCTAAATTTAAATTAATATCGAAATCTTGTATTTAATCAGAACTTCTCTTATTGAAGTTGTAGAGAGATTTAGAAAAATAAAATTGTTTTAAATTTGTGATATGTAACTGATTAATTATGTTTCCTCATACTTTTGCGTAAAATGAAAACTAGAGGAAACTAGAGAAGCTACAAGGTCACAAACTCGTATCCACAATCTAAAATTTTCCAATACATATATCTTTGCAACCTGACGGTGTAAACCTTTGATATTTATAACTTAGATTATGTGGTCTAACATATTTCAAAGTTTGAAATATCTATGGTCTACAACATTGAGTTGCAACGATATAGAGATACGAAAATCAGAGTTTGTGGCAAAAACTCAGTTCATTTGACCTGCATTTTCTGACTAGATTGCATTGAATAGTTGTATTCTGTCTAGTTTTCATCGTTTTCCATCTAATCTTAGCAATTTTAAAAGAATGCCAAATTAATATGAAAATATATTTTTGTTAAGTAAACAGGCCTGGTTGCATGAACATGATTTTCCAGATACTACTGATAACAATACACACTGGAGTATAGGTGGGACAAAACAAATTAAAAAAGTAATTGAGTCTTTGTCATAAACTTAAATTTTCTAATCCCCATATCTGTGCAACCTAATGTCGTAGACCTTAGATTTTGAAATCTATGAACTCTGGTAGATTGAATAATCTGAGTTTGAAATTTAACAAGTTTATGCCATTAGTTTGAAAAGATATACGGACTATACAATTTGAGTTTGTGGCAAAGACTCAATTCTTTTCTTCACAAAAGAAATTGAGTTTCTCCCACAAACGTAAATTTTCTATATCTTTGCAATTTGGTAGTATAACCCTTAAGTATTTCAAACTTAGATTGATTTATCGGACAAAATTCATAGTTTGAAATATCTAAGGTTTACGCAATTAGGTTGCAAAGATATTGGTTTATTAAATCATGGTTTGTGGAAAAGACTCAATTTCTTTGAGGAAGCCCAAGACAGTTATAAAAAATTCAAATTTTCATAAAGTTTGCTAGTAACATTTTTTTAAAGAGACATCATGTTTTTTTTCTTCGACGTATAAACATTTTAAAAATGTTTTACTAAGCTGATCAAAGATATTTAGAATATATCATTCTCGAGTTTTAGAAAATTCAATTTCCATTTTGGCAACATGTTTCAAACATTCAATTTTTGACAAGGGAACACTGTGTCAACTGTCAACACTGTATTTTTGAAAAGTACTTTAAAGTTATTTTATAAACCCCGTACAATTCTACAAAAAAGTATTTGTATCTCATTTTCAAAATCTGTCGTGTCGAAAATTATAGCTAAAATAATTTATTTTAAAATACAAGTTGTGTAGTTAATCAAGAAAGTATAAATCAGTAAAAACGAAAAATCTTTATTTAACGGTGGAAAAAAATGAGTAAGGTCCATAAACCCCTGCATTAAAGAAATCTAATATTCGACTCTTGTAGCTTTAAATGTTTTAAAGTGGTATAAATAACTTTTTAGATAGGAAAATATTCATTTCATTCTTAAAGGGACATACCGGCTATGTAGGGTAGTTAAACTGAGTATGCATGGTGTTGTGGAAAAATTCTTTTTAAAGATCTGTAAATCCTGAGTTTGAGCGCACAGTCGACGTTCAAAATCGTACTTTTGGGTGAATACGTTTACAGAATTTTTTTTGATTATTAAATAACGACGACAAAAAATGTTAACAAAATTCTACAGTAAACTAATTTGCTGTTTAGGAACAGGTTGAGAAAGTAAAAATTAACTTTTAGCATAGTATTAAATAAGTAATCTTATTCAACTTTTAGTTTCTATAATCTCTCTTTAATCACAAAAATTGTCTGCAGATTTTTATAGAATTTTTATTAAAATGACGACATTTGAAGAATTTGAAGAAATCTGCGAACAAATTCATAGAAAATAAGAAATTCAATTTAATGATGAAAAAGGAAATAATTAATTCTAACTTCGATTTATTGACAAATTTCTTTTGAATAATATTTTCCTAAACATCTAATTAGTTTACTATAGAATTATTACTATATTTTTCGTCGTCGTTAACTAATAATAAAAAAAAACTATTCTGAAAACGTACTCCCCCAAATTCATAATTTTGAACGTCGGCTTTGTGCTCAAACTCAGCAATTATACATCGTGGAAACGTTTTATATGTCTCAAATGAATCCTGAAGAATTTTTCCACAACACTGCATACTCAATTTAAATACCTTACATAGCCGGTCTGTCCCTTTAATCTAATTTAATCTAAGCGATAAATTTTCAACAGAATAAAAACAATCAACATAAATCACTCAGATTCTGCAAAGGAAATGCAGTTTTCTCTTCTAAATCTGGGTTGTTTAGAGAGCTCTTTGCATTTGTTTTGGCTTTGTTAAAGGGAGTGACCGGCAATTTATGGTATTTGAACTGAGAAATTTTTTAGGATTCAGTTGAAACTGTATGTTTTAATGAAGTACAATTACTGAGTTTGGGCGCAAAGTCGACGNCTTTTACAGCACAGAATAAGGCATGTTCGTAGTTTTTTTTATCAAATCGTTAACAAAAAACAGGCTAATGAAGTACTTTTTAATTCTTAATTAATAACTGAGCTTTGAGTTCAGTTAAATTTTTCTTCCGATAAGAATTAAAGTTGCCGTTAGTTAACTATTTCGTTATTATAAAGAGCGTTCCGTTTACGATTGTTAACGTTTTCGCGTTAATCGGTTTTAAACAGACAGACAAACAGAAACGCATGGTATATATACAAGGTTACCCACGAAGGATGAGACGTCAGAGACAATTGTACAGAATTTATTTAGTCCATTTCTTTGCATTCAGGGTTCCCTGTAGGCCAAAACTGGCTTATTTCTGTGCTTAATTATTAAGTTAACCATCAAAATACCCAACTGAGCTCAGAAACCAAAGAGCAAGCTTTAAATCGTCATAATTTTAGTGTTTTAGGTAGTCTTTATAGTCTCATCTTTTGTGGATAACCCTGGATAATATACAGCTAGTAAATAGCATTCAAAGACTAATGTTCGTTAAAGGATATTTGCCCAGCCCTATACTGTGAGGATATAAGAGATACAGACTAACACGATCTAGGTTGCCCAGCCCTATACTGGGAGGATATAAGAGATACAGACTAACAAGATCTAGCTTTAAGCTTTACACATTTTTCACAGAGATAAAGATGTCAAGTGAAAACCAATAGTACAAGAGTTTATAGTTAAAAATAGTCAAAAATCCAGAAGATTTTGTGAATACCCTCATCATTTGTTTTGTTTAAGATAATTAAAAACAGACAAGAATAAGTTTTTTTGACTTTATTGCTTTAGAACTATTTACCTACAAATATCAAGGATCAACTAACAGTAAACATGGTAACGGTGTTCGAATTCAATGAATTTGAGCCGCGGCTTAAATCTGCCAAAAACCGGTTTCGATTGAGCGCCGGCTTAAATCTTGAAAAATTAAATACAATTTTAAGTGGAACCAACCATATTTGAGCCGCGGATTAAATTTAAGCCGCGGCTAAATTCGTTAAATTCGGCCTCAGATCATATAGAATTTTATCTATTTCTAGATAGATATTGAATCAAGGATCAACTAACAATATAAGCATGGTAACGGATTACATAGAATTTTATCTCTTTCTAGATAGATTCTTGAATCAAGGATCAACTAACAGTAAACATGGTAACGGATTATATAGAATTTGATCTATGTCTTGATAGATATTGAATCAAGGGTCAACTAACAGTAAACATGGTAACAGATTATATCGAATTTGATCTAGGTCTAGATAGATACTTGAATCAAGGATCAACTAAGAGTAAATATTGTAACAGATTATATCGAATTTGATCTATGTCTAGATAGTAAATATATACTTGAATCAAGGATCAACTAAGAGTAAACATGGTAACAGATTATATAGAACTTGATCTATGTCTAGATAGTAAATATATACTTGAATTGAGGATCAACTAAGAGTAAACATGGTAACAGATTATATATAACTTGATCTATGTCTAGATAGTAAATATATACTTGAATCAAGGATCAACTAATTGTAAACATGGTAACAGATTATATAGAACTTGATCTATGTCTAGATAGCAAATATACTTGAATCAAGAATCAACTAAGAGTAAACATGGTAACAGATTATATGGAACTTGATCTATGTCTAGATAGTAAATATACTTGAATCAGTGATTTTAGGATTTGTCCATAAACTGGGATAAAGGGAGCTTTAAGATACAGACAATTAGTTGAATAGGCGTTAGGTAGTTCATCGACCAACCCACAGTGGACTAAGGCAGTGGAGTCGGTCAAATAGGCCTAGGATTAGGCCAGGTACTGTAAAAAGTCTGAACGCGCCACAGGAGTTGTCATAGTTAACCCTCCGACGGGACTATGCCAAGAAAATTGACCCCTGTCGTATGTTAGTCTGGTTAGGGCGACGTACTGTCAGAATATGGCCAAGAACCGGTCTACCATAGGATCGGGTCTGTACACGCTGTTATCTGGCAGGCCGGTACAAACTGGGCAGATCCTGTTCGAATTCAAATTTACTACGGCCCAGAGTGGACCTCAAATAAATTAAATTAGGTCCCTGAGAATATATATTTGAATATATTTATTCAATTTCAAATTATATTTGAATTCACTTTGATATATGCATCTATTATTTGTTCGTTTTATCGTTATTTAGAGATATAAGATATGTTTCACTTCTTTTTACAGGAATTTTGTATTTAGGACCTTACCACACTACAGATCAGATGATTGTATTGAATACTGTTGGAAGAAAGGTATAAAGTTTTATTTGCACAATTCTTGCAAATTACATTTAATTCTTACAAAATACATTTATTACTTTTTCTTCTTCATTTCCTCAAACTGATTTTTAAGTGTGTGATTGGTTTAAAATATGGATTTTGTTAGATCAAATAGTTCAAGTTAGCAATATAAAAGGTTTACATCATTGTTTGCAAAAAGAAATGGATTGCAAAGGAGACTTTGCCACAAACCTTGATTTTCTAATTCTTATATCTTCGCAACCCAATTCAAACTTTGAATTCTGTTAGATGAAAAAATCTAAGTTTAAAATATAAAGAGTCTACACCCTATGATTGCAAAGATATAGGGATTAAAAAGGTTGAGTTTGTGACAAAGACTCAATTCCTTTGACCTTAAGTTAAAAGAACGCAATTCAATTACAGGAAAGTATCAGTTCAGAATCCCTCCAAAAATTAAAATTTTGCAAGGATAAACCAAAAATATGCTTTTAGTTGTAACTATACTTTGTTCACTTCAGAATATTGTACAAACCGTCTTAGTTGTGCAAGCTCAAGCTGAATAGCCGGACAGGTAGTTAACTCATAACTACCATTAAAGGGACTGCAGACGTGATTTCAATTGTTCATTGGCACATTTGGCTTCAATTGTCGCATGACCCGAACCGGTACAAGAATTAATCAGTCTAGTAAAATTGTTCTATATATGCATACTCGTACTGGCCAGTCTAGACTATACCCTAGTGGAAATTATACCCTACAATGCATGTAGGCAAAATCTACGGGTATTTAATGGAATCTTAGTCCAACATAACAATTGTTCAGCGTAAACAGACCCATCCCACTAAATAAGTAATTTTATAAGTTACTATTAAAACTAATCCGAGGAAGATTTTGTGTTTGCAAATATTACAACAGAAATTTTTCTTGAAACAGTGAGTAAACTTAAACCTAAAAACAGTTCAGGTTAGGACAATATTTCTACCAAGCAACTAAAGAAAATAATTGAAAGTATTGTCTATCCTATAAATCATTTGTTTAACCTTTCTTTTAAAACAGGATATATCCCTAGTGATTATAAATGTGCAAAAATAATTCCTATCTTTAAAACTGAACAAAAAAATGTAAAAACAAGACGGATGTTACAGCCTGACATGGGATCCATCTTTCACATAAAAAAATCAATGAAATATTCTGGTCAAGGAAACTACTATGTGAATTATCAAAATTATCAAATTTAATGCGTTTAACCTCTTCGGATACTAAACGAACACTGATGCATCTATTCTTGTTTACAAATTCCGCTCAAAGAGAACTGGTTTCAATATGTACGCAGAGTAAACACGACTGCAATTAACTTTCCTTGCATTACACCCTTTATAATCTCCTTTATCCTTTATCAGCAAACCGTCTTAGTTGTGAACTCAAGCTGAATAGCAGGGCAGGTAGTTAACTCAAAACTACCAACCCCCCTGGTAGGAACTTCATCTAACCAACAGTGCATGCATTAAAGGGACTCCAGACGTAATTTCATTTGTTCATTGGCACATTTGGCTTCAATCGTCGCATGACCCGAACCGGTACGAAGATTAATAGGTCTAGTAAAATTGTTTTATAGATGCATTCACTCGTACTGGCCAGTCTAGACTAGACCCTAGTGTAAATTCTACCCTACAATGCATGTAGGCAAAATCTACGGGTATCCAATGGAATCTTTGGACCAATGAACATAACAATTGTTCAGCGTAAACAGACCCATGTCACTTAATAAGTAATTTTATAAGTAGCTATTAAAACTATTTGCTTTGTAACAACATAAACACTTAAGAATTATGGCTATGTCGTCCTTCTATTCCACATTTAATTTTGTGGTTCTCGCTGAATTTAACAAAAGAACAAAAAATTCGAATATAAATTGCCTTCCTTGTCATAATAATAATAATAAGAATAATAAAAATCTATAAATAATCTAGCAGACAGGGAGTTTCTTTTATCATTCCAGATAATAAACTAGCAGACAGGTAGTTTCTTGATTATTCCAGATAATAAACTAGCAGACTGGTAGTTTCTTGATTATTCCAGATATAATACTTGTAGACAGGTAGTTTCTTGATTAATCCTAAAAATAAACTAGCAGACAGGTAGTTTCTTGATTATTCCAGATGATAAACATAGCAGACAGGTAGTTTCTTGATTATTCCAGATAATAAACTAACAGACAGGTAGTTTCTTGATTATTCCAGATAATAAACTAGCAGACAGGTAGTTTCTTGATTATTCCAGATGATAAACTAGCAGACAGGTAGTTTCTTTATTATACCTGATAATAAACTAGAAAAATTAATTGAACGACTCATCAATGAACCGTTAGTTTTTTACCACTACACATTTAAATCAGCTAACCGTATTACCTTTGTTAATGATTTAGATTTTTAACCACGTTATCCTGAAGGTTACAGGATTAAAATTCCAAAAATATCCTTATTTTAAAAATTTTTCCGATCGGTCTTAAAAACTTTCGATATTTTCGTTAACAACATAGGAATTACGGATTTTTATTTCGTTTACATTCCATTAATTTTAAAAAACTGCTGTTTCTTAACGGATGTTTCCTTGACCTAATAATGATCGAAACTTTTTTTTTCCAAATAAAAGACCCAAAGAGGACAAAACAAATACTTCAATATACTACTCGATCAGGTTCGTGGGATAACTGCACTAGCGTCTCTCTTCCTAATTTCTAATGTTCCTGCGTAGAAAACAAATCTCAAAACTTTCTGTTTTCTTTGGCAAAAAACTCTCTGACAAGGTCACAAGAAAAGTATCGAAAAGTGTATATTTTTATATTTTTAGTATGATTAATGGAGATAGAATGGCAACTTTCATGGGATATCTTTCTTCGGTTCAACTTGGAGGAAATACTGTTTTCCCAAAAATTGGTAAATAATTTTTTGGTTTTAGTTTTAACTTTCTCGGAATTGTTTACTGCATTAGTTCCACTATTGCAAAATGCAGTCCTCAAATTTTTTTGTTTTAACTTAAACAAAATTAGTTTATTTAAAAAATTTTTAATCGAAATTTTTGCATTCTAAACATTCTTTAAACAGATATAAAATTTTTTGCTTTATTCAATTTTCGTATCTAAAAATCTTTTCGGAACATTATTTCTTTTTAAAACTTTTTCAAAAACCTTTTTTTATCCTAGAAAAATTGAAATGTATATAATATTTTTCAATTCAAAATAAGTGTTTAAAGAAACAAAAAACAAACATAAAAACTTGAAACTAACAACTAAAAACAAGTTCTTAATTGTTTATTTTAGCAGAAATACACCTGTATAGAATAATTGTTCTTGAAAACAAAATTCTATTTGGAATTGAACACTCGGCCCAAGCTTAAATGTCATACCTTTGCTACCTGATAGTGTAAACCATTGTATTTAAAGTTTTTACTATTTTATCTTCAGCAGATTTTATAGATATAAATATGAAAGGTTTACGACATCAGGTTGCAAAGAAAAGAGATAACAAAATTTGAATTTGTTGCGAATGTTTTCAGTTTAGAAATTTATTCATAAAAAAATTTGAATTGTTTAGATGTATCAATATCTCCGGAAAGGGGAAGTGCCGCCTTCTGGTGGAATTTAAGCAGGTTTATTACAATTTTTTAATGCTTTTTAAGAATCCATATCCCGTAAAGAACCAACGACCCTTGGAGTATAAATATGGAGTATTTTCAAAGGTTCACATAATTAATTAGTTTGAAAACATAAATAAAAAGTTTAAAGTTTTAGTTTTTGTTTTCTACTTTTCAGTAATGGAGTAACAGATACAGATACTGTTCATGGAGGGTGTCCTGTTCTGGTCGGATCAAAGGTTAACATTTCTTAGTGTAAACAATACAAGAAAATATAATTANCAGGGATGACTGACATATTCTTGTTTTTCTAGCTATCAATTGATTTGCATAGTTTAGTTTCCCTAAAAGTAAACCTGCGGATTTATTCAGTATTTACAATCAAGGACATTGTCAGAATTAAACACTTTTTAGGAAAAACGACGATATCGATTTTTAGTAAACCATTGTGTATCAGGTTAACACTTTTATAAAAAGCACGGGTCACTTGGATTTGCGTTTACAGTCCCTTTAAAATTAGAATAATATTCTAAATTTCCTTGTGTTTAGGTTGGTATGAAGAACCGGTTCTCAACTTTGATGAAAAATGAAGTTTTCCTAAATACTCCTGTGTATTATACTGCCCTCACGCACTTTTCACCAGAATTTAAGAAAATTTCATGATTTCAACATTTTTTTCTTTTCACTTTGTTACCCTTCATGACACTGGCATATTTGTTATAAACTCAAAACTAGATAAGCTACAATGTCACAAAGTCGCAGCAGTAGTGTCGCATAAATTTTACCAATTCTCATCCTGTCTAATTTACAGTAATAAAGGTTAAATTCGGCTTTCTGTCTTGAATTATATTCTGGTAATAAAATATAATATTATATGAACGAAACAAAGGAATTGAGTCTCTGTAATAAACTCTGGTTTTCTAATCCCTTTATCTTTTCAACCCAGTGATGTAGACCTTTGATATTTCAAACTATGAAATATGCTAGAATAAATAATCCAAGTTTGAAATATCAAAGTTTTACACCTACCGGTTGCAGAGGAATTAGAAAATTTGAGTTTGTGGCAAAACCTCAGATCATTTGCTTAAGAATACAAAATGTACGGAAATGGGTAAATTTCCCTTCTTTTCAACACTAAATTCACAAATCCCAGTTGCAATATGGGTTTAAAACTTAAGTTCCGAAAGCAGTTATAATACAAATTGATTATTATGTTTTCCATTAGGCATTTTGGATGTTAAGTGTATAAATATTTATAACTTTAAAAGCAGAATTCTTTTTATTTTTTTTTATTTTTTTGTTCTAAATTTATCTTGATCAATGAATAAGATTTTGCTGAATATAGTTTTTTCTTATAAAAGTTTTGGTATTTTTATTTATGCTTGCTTAATTCAAATTATTAATTATAAGAAAATTTTGTGAACTCATATTTTGTAAGTCCTACCTTTACATAACTTTTGTTTTTCATTGAATTCAGTTCAAACAATTCTAAAAATACAGATTTATTTTGAGCGTATTTAGTTAAATGATTTACACCAAAATTTGAAGGGACTGTAGGCGTAATTTCAAATAACCCTTCAGTTTTAAAGTGGCTTGTCTGATTCACAACAGTGCCCTTTAACCCTTCGTCTGATAAAGGTTTGAAACTGTTTATTTTGATTTGTGGTTTCTCAATAAAAGTGCACTGTCAGCCGTAGTACGTTTGACTTTCCGAGCCGGGTCAACCTTTCCGGTCGCAGTTTGTACTGTACCTAGATCTGTGGACAAGACTAGCCGGTGCAACAAGATTGACGCGGTCAGACTTTATGCTTCATATAGGTTAAATTTACTTTTACCAAAGGGGCAGATTTAGGACGGGTAAACAGTGGGACTAACTAAGACTCCCCTGGGCAACGATGGGTTCCCAAGCTATAGTATTTAAATACTTTTTAAAATTTTTCTATTGTTATTTGCTTGCCAAAATCCTTTTAAATTTAAATCCTGTCGTGACGTTAAAAATATATTTATAGTTGTAAAAATAAGATAAAAGACGTGTAGCTACTTTTTAAATTAGGCAAAAATAAATGCCTGGGCCTGGGAAATAAATTTCACTTAATCGTTTATTTGGCGAACTGCACAGCTTGCTTTAGCTGGTGAAACGTCGGCCTGGTACTTGAAATGAACCGGAGTTTCCAGTACTCAGTAGATTTAAAACTTAACAAATAGTAGTTACTGGGACTGTCGTCGTATTTCAAGTCATATTTTATTTAAAAAATTAGGTATGCCCGATTCATAACGATACCTTTGAAACCTTAGTCTTGTTATAAATGTAAGGGACTGTTAACCTTGTTTTAATTTTTTCAACTAAAAGTGCTATGCCATTAAACAACCAGACAGATATAATTACAATCAGTTGATTTTTGGCAATCTTTCTTGTTTCTGCTGCATAAATTTACAAATCACTTTAGTAGCAGAACTCAAATTGGAACTGATCATATGTAAAATGCAAAGAGAATAGAATATTTATTAGAGGGGAATTTAGAAAATCCCTCGGTATGAATTTTTTCAGTCCCTTTCAGCCTGAAAGGGAGTTCAAAGTGTGCACATCATGTAAATGTTCACAAATTATATGCAGTAGAGTACATTAATACAGTATGTTCTCTAGACTATCCATTTCAATTTCGAATTTTTTAAAGCTGTTAAATACACTTTATAAAATGAATTAGGTGAATAAAAAACATCATTTGATTTAAAGTTATAACGAAAAATCATCGTTTGTAAAGTGAAAGGCATAGAGTCTATGTGAAATGATCATTGGTTAATTATAAAACCAGCCTATTTCATAATTTGGTTTTCTTTTAGTATTAATTTTAGACTTTTTATAAAATGATGTTCCAGGGCCCAAAAGGTTATATAACACAAATATGTTAAGTACATCTGCAGTATGAAAACAGTACAACAAAATGGCCGTTTTACACTTTTTTCTAGTAAATTCTATTCTATAATATATATTCTATTCTCTTTGGTAATATGTTAACACAAGTATCCTGATCATTTTTGCTCGCACAAAAGTTTAAGAGGTTCTGTTGTGAATCTAGGTGCCCCTCTTTAAAGGGACAGTCTAGTTTTGAAAATATAAAAAAGTAAATCTGTAGTAAGCAGTTTTAAAGATAAGAACTGAAGGAATAAAGAGTCTAAATTCTGACATATATATATTTATAATGCGGCTCCAGCTTTAGGTAAAAACATCATAAATTTCCCTGTTTCAGGTTTATATACTTTACGCATAATTTATATAAACCAAGTTATTTACTTAATATTTACTGGGAAACTCAATAATGTTTTGATTTAAATACTTACATACTTATTTTATAACATCAAAGTACACTTTTAAAATAAATTAAATTTGCTCTACTAAAAGTGATTTTTTATTCGTTATTTCTATTGAATTTTTAAATTAGTCTTAGACCAGGGGTCTAATTGGTTTGACTAAATTATATCTGTAATTTTAAAAAGCAATACTCTTTAAATTTATAAGTTACAAATTACAAATTGTTTTTGTGAAGCTTCGTGTTTAACCCTATACAGGCTGAGCACGGGCCGTCGTAGTACATTTGAATTTCCGAGTCGGGCCAACCTTTCCGGTCCCAGTTTGTACTGTATCGCCAGGACATTGGGTAAATTAAGCAGAAACTCAAAAGAACTAGCCGGTGCAACAAGATTGGCGCTTGAATTTACTTCTACTGAAGGGTCAGGGGTGAGTGGGGAAGTCTAGAGGTTGCAAGCTCTGAAGCTAAAACAAATTGATGTGAACTTTGCCAATAACTTTTAAAAAGCTAGAGCAAATAACATGTTCCTTTCAGTTCTTAATGTTCTAATTATTAAGTTAGCGAGGTAAATTTAATGGCCATTGCATTACGACACTTCAAACTCGACCCAGTTTTACCAATTTCTTCATAGAAGTCTGGAATCATACACAAATCATGTTTTTGTAAGTTTTCCAAGAATCTACTAATGATAATGTATTAAACATGATATGATGATGTATAAATCTTTTTCTGATGAACAGTTCTGAGCTTAAATGCTATAAAGAAATATTATTTTTAATATCATTTTTCTCTATTTAAGATTAAGATAAATTTGTCAATATTCAATATTTTATTTAAATTGAAAAGTTCTAAGAGGTGACAATATTTCAGAATCATAATTCTTAAATATTCATAACAAAATCTTTTGATATAGTATAGTAAACCCCACAAATGAGACTGTACAAAGACGACCTGAAACTTTTAAGATGTTAATTCAAAGGTTAAATTAGGTACAATAGTCTCTGAAGTCTCTTTTTTTGGGTAACCCTGAATACTTCTTTCCCATTTATGAATTAATGTTTTAACATTAAGATTATTATAAAGGAAACTACAGCAAATTTCATTTACAATGTAATTGCAAGGTTGGCATTTTCTCAACAATATAAGATTAAAAATTGGCGAACTGCAAAATTTGGAAGAACAAATATTTGGAACAAAAGAAGAAATGATATTTAATCTCAAATCCTAATTCAATTTTCTAAATTAACTTGATTCAAAGTTAGGAAACAGGGTTACCCACAAAGGATGAGACTTCAGAGACGACATTAAGGAAATTATACTTTCTGTTTCCCGTTATTCATGATTCCCTGTAAATATTAACTTCTTTCTTTCTTTGCCAAAACATGAAATATGCCATTTTAAAACTATACATTTAAGACAGAAGATTTAATTTAAACGTCGGATCATCATATTTGAAAAGTTTCAAGTCGTATTGAGAGAAAATCAAACTGGATCAAAGAACTCTTAACAAACGACCTTATGTTAATAAGCTGTTTAATTTAATTATTTTTTGTTACAACTCATTATTTCCGAAACTGGGTACTTTATTGATTATTTTAACGTTTAACGTAACTTTAAGTAACTTTTTATTTACAAAGTGACATATCTGATTCCCAATGGCACCCTTATTTAAAAGCTTTGTCAGATATAATTTATTGTTCTTTTAACATGTTTTGTAACGACATTATCCCACTAAAGTTCAAGTAACTTGTTTTGTTAGGTTTGGAAAACTAATAAATATTCCGTCTGAATTAACGGGGGTTTTCGTGTTGTTTTACATTTAACTCAAAGGATAATTTTTCAGGTTGGTTTATTTTTTTAAAACATTGATTTCATTAACGGAACATCGCCCAGCTTTAATCAGAGTCAGAATCAAGGGTTTTTAGTCAAATAAGCTTTTTAAAATTGTCCTCAAAGTTCTCAAGTTGAATAATCAATTATCAGGTTCATCCAGCATTGATGCTTCTGAATCCCCGGTTTACGTGGATTTAACGGTTCTGTCAATATTCCAGAAAGCTGTGACTTTCGATCACAATTTGACCCATTAAACATAATTTGTTAGCCTTTTTTCTTAAATACTTTTTTGTTGGCATATGCATCTTGAAGGAAAAATATACAAATCCGAAGGGTAAAAGATTGCTGAATTATAGACCAAAACACGTTTGATTTCAAATAGAAAAAAAAATGCTGCTCACTCTGGTAAGTCCGGGGTGCACGGGTTATACCTAGGTCTAGTTAGTTTCACGTGTAATGTGATCTCGTCAAAACTAAATAAAAAAACACAATTTTTAAAATATTTATTTTATTAAAAATCACCAATATTTAACAATCAATATATATCTATATTAACAACCAATTTTACCATAACACAGGGCAACCCACAAAGGATTTAATTTAAAGACGACCGTAAACTATATGAGAATCTGTCTTCTAACTTTAGTTGGAAAAATTAGGAAAAGAAACGAAAAAGGAGAACATATATTTTGTCCAACTGAATCTGGATTTTCACCCTTTGTGGATAAACCTTTATGTAATAAAATAGCTTTTAATTGATGTTTCTCTACTTTGGGGGAGACTACATGAATAAGAAAATCAAATTTGAAATTGTAGGTATAAAAATAATTTGTTAATAGTTAAAGAGGGCTATTTATGTTGCTTTTTGTATTTAAAGAAATTATGTTTCTATTATGCTATGACTATACATACATTTATTACAGTAAATACTAATATTACATGTTTTTAACACTAAAGAATATAAAAGCTCGCCCTAAGTTTTATTTTCTAATCTGGAAACTCTTGTATTGTGGAAATAGAGATGATCTCCACTTTTTAATCGTTTAATCTGCAGATTAATTTAATCTTTATTTGATATCCAGGAAAGGATCTAAAGTTCAACCAATGTGTCGTTTGCAGAAACCGAACAGCCAATAAAAAATTGCCGGGAAATTTTTCGTGCACTCTCATTGGTCGGAACCCAACAGAGAGGATTAAGCAGAAAAAAATGTCCACAGTGGATAAAGAGATATAATTCGAATAAGAATAAGTGGTATACCAAACACAAGTGTTTTCAGGTCTGATGTCATACATCTTGGATATTTTGTTAATCCTTACTGAAACATCAAAGAATTACACCATCAAGTTGGACATACATATATGGGTTTAAATACTTAGAGTACGTGGCGAGTATTGAGTTGACGAAGATAACATTTTAGTATGACATATATCTTGAAAAGTAATGTTTGAACAGTTCTACATTTACACTTATACATACATACACCCTAACATAAGTTTTGGATAACCCATTTTTTTTAAATACAATTTTGGCCATAATTCTCTCCAATTAAAATACTTTTTCGTCAATGAAATATATACCATTTACATTTCTTTTTATATTAAATTTTAGTTAATTTTGAATGTTAACCAAAACACATTTATTTATTAATTTTTGATATCGATTACAGGGTCTGAAGGTGTCTTAAAGTTACAAGTATTTACTAATAATATTCCTGATTGATATTTTTGGAATCCCAGATTTCCTGATTTTTCTTTTGATTTTTTGGCAGAATTTTGGTTTATGGTTCAGGACATGAAACATTTAGTTCACCATCATAATTTTTGCTTTATATAGTCTGTATGTGTGGTGTACTGCTTGTAAATCGGCCCGGTAGTTGGAATCCACCAGAGTTTGGTGAAGAACTGATGAAACTATTCAGATCTGGTAAACTCTAGTATTTCTGTTGGAATGAACCAGAGTCTGGTGAAGAACTGATGAAACTATTCAGATCTGGTAAACTCTAGTATTTCTGTTCCATCCAAACTGAAAAAAAGTTAAGTTGACAACAATGGTTGCAAATTGCTAGCGATCCTTTTTGCAAAAATTCGATGATTCTATTGAAAATTTTGCGTTTTTAACGTTTTGAACAAAAGATGAGTAATTAAGATAAAATAGGCGTTTACTTTTCCTTTTATCCTCGTCCTTCAAAAAATAAACGACAAATTAATAGCTCTAATTGGGACAACATTCGATTTTTTTTTAAATCTTAGTTATCTCTTACGAGAACGTCACCACGGTATATCCAAGAAAGAAATTAGTTGAAGAGACATTGTGTTTCTGTCACAAACTCTGATTCTCTACTGCCTAGAATTTTGTAGACCAAAGTCGCATACTTTGGAATTTGTTAGATCAAATAATCTAGTTTTGAAATGTCAAAGGTCAGGATTATCAGGTTGCCAAGATATAATGATTAGACAATTTGAGTTCGTGGCACAGACTAAAGTCCGATGTTTAATGGATAACTATCAACTTGATCCAAGGGTTCACAGCAAAAAAAACTTTGACCCCTCAGACTATAAATCTGTATATTTATATAGTTTCAGTCAGATTAAGAAATAAATATTTCGGAGTTTAAGTTTTTTTTGTTTATCATTTCTGATAAAAATGACCGTTACTTACTATTAGTCCAATTGATATATAGCATCATATCTGTTTTTGTAATCAAATGTATCTTTATTACATGTAGTTATAGAAATGTGATATCCAACGAGAACAGATTAAAAATAAAATTAAAAGATCCAGTGCAGAGTGGACTTTCAGATTAAGCAATAAGGGTTAAGGGTATACAATTCTAATGTTTTCAGCTCTGAGCTGGGAACTTTGAAATGGAGGATATCAAGATTAATGCTTGATCCTCTCTTTTTGCAAATCTGAAGACTAATTTAGTCTTTAGATTAACTTCTAGAAATTAGAGATGCGCTCTTTAACTTTTGAAAACCCGGTTTTTAATTTTCCCGTATTAGTGGTGACATATTTTACTACAATGATCGATTGAACGAATGTTAGTTTTGGATTGATGTTATTAAGACTAATGTTCAAAAGGACTATAGTCCTTAAATGTGATAAATTATGTTTTTTAAAAAATAAGTTCATATTAACATGATTAAGTTTGTATTCGTTAAAATACTCTAAAAGCCGGCTGGTAAACAGCTGACTTTAGTTCATTCGGATATTAGTTCAATCGATATAGTATCGATATGAAATCGATATAAATCCAACAAGAGCGGATTAAAAATGAAATAAAAGTTTCTACAATGGTTATTTAGATTAAGCAATTAAAATTAAGGCTATCTAAGTCTAAAGTTTTCAGCGCTGAAAGAGTGGATCAAGTATTAATCCCGATGTCCACCATTCAAAAGTTCCCAGCTCAGCTCTAATAAATTTGCTTATCTCATACTTGTGCATAACATCAAAGCTAGAGTTTTTCACAAGATCACAATGTCGTACCGTTAATGTCTTTAAAATTTGACCTTCACCTTCTGTCTAATTCACAGTGAATCTATGTAACATTTTTGAAAGATTGTCACTAATTAAAGGGTTTTGGCCCTAAAATTGAGAAAGTTTTACATTTTGGCTTGGTTGAGTTAAAAAATGTGTTTTCTTCTTTTTTCATAGATGTTATGTGATTTCATAAGGGTCTGAAAAGAGAATAATTCTATTTATAAATATAAAATCCTAGGGTTAGACACCAAAAACTAGGGAAATTAATGAATAAAAAGTTACAACAAAGAGGGAAGTTGCTACTGTTGATGTTGACATGTGCAAAAGAACGACACTTAATATAACAGAACAAAATCCAGTGAAATTCAAATTTGATCAATTTTTCATTCCTTTTTGAATATTTGACATATGTTATTTTAATATTTCAAAACATAAATTTAAATTCAAAGAACTTTTTTTCCCTTTTTTATTATCTCGAAAACAAAAGTGGCAAGTGGCAAATGACAAAAGTTGGTACAATACAAAACGTCGATTATCAAAAGGTCCAGTAGTATAAAATGTTGAATAACAAAACGTCGATGGTACAAAATTACGACTGCTACAAAACGTTGAATAACAAACCGTCTAAATTACAAAACGTCGACTGCTAGAAAACGACGGCTGCTGCAAAACGTTAACTGCTACAAAACGCCCTAGTATACCACAATGAATTATGTGAACGTGGTCAGCCCTAGTATTACACAATGAATTATGTGAACGTGGTCAGCCCTAGTATTACACAATGAATTATGTGAACGTGGCCAGTCCTAGTATTACACAATGAATTATGTGAACGTGGCCATCCCTAGTAGTACACAATGAATTATGTGAACGTGGCCATCCCTAGTAGTACACAATGAATTATGTGAACGTGGTCAGCCCTAGTAGTACACAATAAATTATGTGAACGTGCCCAGTCCTAGTAGTACACAATGAATTATGTGAACGTGCCCAGTCCTAGTAGTACACAATGAATTATGTGAACGTGGCCAGCCCTAGTTTTACACGGTGAATTATGTGAACGTGGCAAGCCCTAGTATTACACAATGAATTATGTGAACGTGGCCAGCCCTAGTATTGCACAATGAATTATGTGAACGTGGCCAGCCCTAGTATTATACAATGAATTATGTGAACGTGGCCAGCCCTAGTATTACACAATGAATTATGTGAACGTGGCCAGCCCTAGTATTACACAATGAATTATGTGAACGTGGCCAGCCCTAGAATAACACAATGAATTATGTGAACGTGGCCAGCCCTAGTAAAACACAATTAATTATGTGAACGTGGCCAGCCCTAGTATTACACAATGAATTATGTGAACGTGGCCAGCCCTAGTATTACACAATGAAGTATGTGAACGTGGCCAGCCCTAGTATTACACAATGAATTATGTGAACGTGGCCAGCCCTAGTATTACACAATGAATTATATGAACGTGGCCAGCCCTAGTATAACACAATGAATTATGTGAACATGGCCAGCCCTAGTATTATACAATGAATTATGTGAACGTGGCCAGCCCTAGTATTACACAATGAATTATGAATCCAAGGGGAATAATGTGAAGGCAACTCTCCAACTGCACTATAGAGACACTAGAGACAAAAATTATTCTTACAGCATCAAATATTGTAAATAATTAATGAATACAATAATGGGAGAGACAACTGCGTAACATCTTGTTTCTAATAGTTGGAAGGGGGGGGGGTTAATTATGCCCCCTCTCCTTTTTTTACATAACTCAAATTAGAATCTTTGAATGCTTTTACGTTTTCCAGAAACATAGTACTCCTGGTTTAAACTGGATTTTATACCAGCACCCTACTAGTACTACCCATACCTGGCTTTCAGCATTGCAATTACTATCATTCATTGTTGTTAGCTCATTCTGTCTAGAAAACAATAAATATGTAAAAATATAATATCGTATTTATTGGAACTTTTTGAAAAAAACTATACAAACTTAAATATTTGGCAGGGAGGTAATACAAATAAAGTTAAATATTTATTAATTAACTATAACTTATCGCATTTGTAAATGAAATGAGTTTTATATCTGCACAAAGTCTAATTTTTAATTTATTTTCAGCTTGCAAAGTCGTAAACCTTTTATTTTTTTGAACTAGGAATTCTGTTAAATCAAATAATCTAAGTTTAAGGTATAGGAAAGGTTTACACCATCAGTTGTCAGGAATATAGAGATACGAAAATTTGAGTTTGTGGCAAAAACTCTATTCCTTTTATCTTTTGCGTGAAAGAAAGTTCCCACTTACTGGATGCAAACGTTGATCTTTTCAGTCTGGGCGTTCAACACTACAGCTAAATCCCTTGTTTCTATCTGTATGAGTGGATTGTTGGTCATGTGATTTATCTGCGTAAAACCGGTTTCCTCGGCACAGGATACACCGTCATTAACAGCTTGGACAGTGAGAACGTTTGTTTTCTTTACTCCGTTGGATGGTTGATTCTTCTCCATAGACTGTAGAGATATACTTTCAGCCTTCCCATTTCCAACTTTGGTTGCAGTCAAACGCTGAAAAAAAATCTTCTAAATATTCACAGTTTTAGAGATGAGCATGTTTGTTTTTTCCAATTTGTTCGTCCACCTTTCGTTAACAACTCATTTCGTTTCTTTTTTTAGTCGTTCAGTAAAATTAGATTTTGTTCGTTTTCTAACTGAACAATTGTGCAATTAAAGTGTTGGTTCATTAGAAAACTGGTCGTTTTCTGAAAAACCTGTTTGTTCAGTAAAAAAATATTGTCGTTTCAAGTTCATATCAAACTATCCGTTCATTAAAAAATGATTGTTTTCTTAACTTTATTCGAACCAAGGATTTTGGAACCGTGTATTAACACCCTTACCTATCAATAAAATGCGAACAATTTCAAATTGTTTGGTTTTGTTTTTCTCGTTCGTTTCGAAATTTTACTTTTTTTCTCTGAACATGCGATTCATAAAAACGACGCCCATCTCTCCTGACAGAAAGAAACAAAATAATAATGAATGAATTGCGTCTCTGATTTGTTTTATAAATATACCATTCTAAAATTTGTTATATGTAACTGCTCTGTATTTCCAAAAATGTGGTCAAATTTAAGAGTTAAGAGTGGTTAACTTATTTTGTGCGGTTCAACAACTCTGACTATTTACGAAATCTGGTTTTGAAAGTTTTATAGAGACTGTAAGCATAATTAAAAGTGACCCTCCATACAAAGATGGCAATGTTCGATTCATTTCTGGTGCAGGAAAGCTTACAGGGATTACTATGAACATAGAAAAACGACAACATCTTTCATATTATTGTTCAGATAAAGGTTTTACGGGTAACATTGTTAATCGGGCATTGTCATCTTTGCATGGAGAGTCACTTGACATTACGCTTACAGTCCCGTTAATAGTTTAATTCCGGCGTTTTCAGTTGATTCTAAGAGTTATAATAGAAACATATAATTTCGTTTTTTGTTAATTTCTTTAAATACTATTTGCCGATTTGTGAAAACTATGTTTACCTGTAAAGATTTTTTTAGATTGTTTTTTGTTGAAGTTTGTGCCGGGTTAGCTGGTGGGCCTTCTAGACAGGGCTTCAAACAGGGGAACAGCATTGCCAATTCCTGAGAAAAATTTATAAAAATTGAAAAATAGAATATTTTTGTTGATAAGATTCATCACTATATATTTGAGAGAATTATATTGTGTAAACATATTGGCTTAAATGGAAAATCCAGGTGCTATTGTTGAAAAAAAGAAAAAAAGCATTTCAAAAATGAAAACATATATACATTATTGTTAATTTAATTTTGCCACATTTTGTTTAGGTTAATTATTATTCTTAACAATAGCAACAAAAATTTAAAAACATTTCCTTTGAATTTTGCAATTTTTGAGTTTTAGCCTTTGGAGAAAATTTTTTGAGCTACGAAATGTTTCAATTATTTTGATGATTATGCACGTCAATAAAAAAAATAGGGTGGTAGTTAAAACGTTTTGCAATGATTAAAATTAAAATTATGTTTTTAAACCAAGAAAAGTGAAATATAATAATAGTTATTTTCATTATTACACCGTTAGTCAGACTTTAAACCCATTTATAGTCGTTCAATAAAAACATTTCTTATTTTTTTTTTTTTTGGCAACTCCTGCAATATTTGTCACTGAAATTGTATAAATCCAAAGTTTATACAAAAAAAATTCACATCCAAAATTATTTTGGTTTCTAAATAAAATTTTGCTAGAAGAAAATAAGAAAAACTTTATACAAAAAAGCATTCACATTCAAAATTATTTTGGTTTATAAAAAAGTTTTGCTGGAAAAAAATGAGAAAATTTAAACGATTTCCAAGTTTTAACAATGAATTTTCTTTACAGTTTATTTTTCTAAGAAATTTTAAAACTAGAAAAAGACAAATGTCAACTTGGAATGAAAAACAAATTGATTTCTTGGAAAAGAGGGAAATTCTTCTTTTTGTGAAAAATATATATGTTTTGGTTTTTGAAATGCTTTTTTACTTTTTTTCAACAATAGCACCTGGATTTTCCATTAAAGCCAATATAATTATACAATATAATTCTCTCAAATATATAGTGATGAATCTTTATCTATTCTATGTATCTACTATAATAGTTAGATGCATTTTTTAATCTAAGTTGCTTACAAAGCTCAGCTCTTAATATTTATTCTAACTGTAAACCTAACATTGAATACAACCAGACAATTAGAGATATGGCTACAACAATAAATAGTGAGATATTTTAAATAGCGCAGACTTGGAATTCAGCCACTTTCTTTTCACTTTCTTTTCTAAGAAAATATTCTATTAAAGAAAAAAATAAAACTAATTCTTTGCTTATTTTTAACACTGATTTAGTTTGTTTTACCTTAACAAACTTTTCGTTCAAGAATCCGTAAAGAATAGGATTCGTGCAAGCAGACGACATTCCTAGTAGGTGGCAGATACAGTAAACCAAGATCATCGTGTCTAAACAGTTATTATGATCATTGTATTTAAACAATAATTATGATCATCTGTATACACAATATGATTATCACGCCTAAACAGTAATTATGATCCTCGTTTCTAAACAGTAATCATGATTATCGTGTCTAAACAGTAATTACGATCATCATGTCTATATAATAATTATGTCCATCTGTATTCTGTATACCCAATATGATAATCACGTCTAAACAGTAATTAAGATCATCATGTCTAAAAAATTATTATGATCATCTGTGTACCCAATATGATAATCACGCCTAAACAGTAACTACAATCATCGGTTCTAGACAGTGATTATGATCATACGATTCCTTTCTGAGTTCTTTTTGAAATATACTTCCTTCCAAATAGATTACCAAGTACAATAGATGGCAACGTAGAATTTGTATACTCTCAGTACAGCTGTATTCTTACGTCACAAGTGTCAATTCAGTTTTATTTACCCGACAAATGTTATTAACAATAGTGAAAATACAGTGCTTATCTAACAGTGAAATTAGTGTAATTTGTGTATTTCATTCTCTGTTTTTACACTCTTTTATGTAATCTTGGAAAACATGTCAACTAATGGGAGAACAAATTTTCTTCCTTGTTAAATTTGACACTTATGACGTCATGTATAATTTGTCGAAAACGATCTCTAATAAAAAACCCAATTGTTTGTGACTCCAAGAATCATATATTAATAATATAACCCGGAAAACCAAGAAGTAAGCAGGGTCGTATACTCATAAACGGGGAGTTATGGAATAGTAAAAACTTTGATTTACACGGGATATGCATCTTTTTCATAGGAGCTGAGAGTTACCCCCCCCCCTTGGAATTTCTGAGAAATTTCTTTGTACGCCCCTGGAAGGAAGCCAGCCAAATCTAATTTATTATATTGTGATGAACGTAATATAATAAAACAAAACAACAACAGAACTCATGATTCTACAGAGTGCAACCATTTAAGATTTCAACAATCAAAATTTAATTATTATCGATTTGTACTGTGTAAAACTTTTATTGGAAGCTTGAACAAATGTCTTCATTCAAAATATTCATTTTTTATTTTCAAAAATTTCATATGAAATACTTCTAAAAAGAGTTTTTTTTCACAAGTGTTTATTTCTATTTTTTTAACATTTTTTTCTAAAATGTTAACAAAAAGACAATTTTAGTTTCGAAATGCTTTTTGTAAGTTGGATATTATACTAAGAACTTACCAACTAGCTGATGAAAACCGACCCAAATAAAACTTAGTAACTGTAAACATCATGCAATCAATGCTTTTATTGATAAGTTTATGAGTAAAAAATAAGTCGATAATTCCTGAGGCGTGTTTTTTATAGTCATTTAAAGTCAATTGTCAAGCCTTTAACAACTTGAAACCACGTCAACGTCAGTCCTAGAATTGGAGACCCATCTCATGTTCGGCTTTCTAGGCAAGAAAACCCGCTACTAAATATACTGCCCAGTACGAGTAAATCGAGGGTTTAAATTTCTTTTTAAGCGTAAAAAAACAGTAGTAAAAATGTTTTCTGATAATGTTTTACAACCCACCTGAATCTTCAAAGATATCAAATAATTCACTAATAATGCAGAATACACTGAACGGAGTCCAACTGCAAACAAATATAATATTTATTATCAGATTTTTTGAACGAGAAATTAAATATTAAGACAATGTTTATCTGCGTTATTGTTTATTTTCGCTGGAATTAATACTTCTAAGCCAAATTTAAAGAATTTGAGACATGGCTCAAATGAGACGTGGTTTAAACAAGGTTGGTTCCACTTGAAGTGTTTCTAGATTTGACCCGGCGCTCAACTGGAACCGGTTTTTGAATGATCAGCGACGCGGCATCTGTTAATATTGTGTTTATAAAAAAAATCCCGCTTTGATCAAAGACGATGCTCATTCGTCACTGCCAAGGTACTAATGCAGTGTTCGTTTATTATCCGAGGGGGTTAAAAGCATTAAAATTTGATAATTTTGAAAATTTACATAATAGTTTCCTATGACCAGAATATTTCATTGATTATTTTTGTGAAAAGGGATTTCTTGTCAGGCTGTGACATCCCTGTGTTTACTTTCCGCCCAAAGACAGTACACTGCATTACAAAAAATGCGTACACCTCTGAAATAACTTTCCTTGCATTAGTACCTTGGTCACTGCTATGTTTTAGGGAACATTTGAACAAAGTAAATGGTAGAGGGGTATGAGTGAGGGAGGGGGGAGTAATAATCTTAATAAATCAATTTTCTGACACTAAAACATTTCTCTTATTGTTTTTAAATAAAAAAAGATATAAAGGTGTCTAGGCTGATTGTTACCTGACAAAGAAAATTATAGATATTGCCACAAGAATGTGATTTGTTCGTTTTTGTCTGTCATTGTTAGATCGTGAGGCCAGTCTATGATCCTGAAATAATTTTTGACTGTTATTTTTTATAATTTATTCTTAAATTTTATCTAATTGTTTTGTCATTGAGGATTTTCATTTGTACGAAGGGAAACTGTTTTCTTCAAAAAGTTATCTGTACAAAAGTCTGATTACGTAGCAGATCTGTGGCCGAATTTAAAGAATTTGAGCGACGGTTTAAATTTAAGCCGCGGTTTAAATGTGGTTGGTTCCACTTAAAATTGTATCAAAAGTTTCAAGATTTAAGCCAAACCGGGTTTTGGCGGATTTTGGCGGATTTAAACCGCGGCTCAAATTCTTTAAATTCCATCTCAGGTTTAATTTTCCCTACGTTTAAAAATAAAAAAATTGATATCAATTACAAACATGGTTTTTGTTTTTTGTTTTGAAATCATAATGATTTCAATAGAACAGTTTGAATATCTTTTTGTTTTAAACGATGCCCATACATAGCCACAATATGGTGCATTTAAAATATAAGCACATTTATCAGTTATTAGAAAAATCAAACTTATAATCCTGTGATGTTGGAAATAAATCCATCAATCAATCAATAAAGAAATAAATAAAAAAATAAATAAATAGATAAATAATTTAATGAATACATAAGTGAATCAATAAGTAAAAAATAAATAAATAAATAAATAAATAAATAAATAAATAAATAAATAAATAAATAAATAAAAAAATAAATAAATAGATAAAAAAAATAAAAAAGGTCCTTTTTGCTTTTCTAGACAATGCATGATCAATATATTGTTCCTCAGCTAGTGTTTCCAATCAGAGCTTTATATTCTAATTAAAAACTAGAACAATAGTTCGGATATATAGAAATATATATAAAAAATTAACGAATACAATTTTAAGGAAGCGTATTGCTGATTCACAACAGTACATTAGTACATTAGTACATTAGTACATTAGTACATTAGTACATTAGTACCCTGAAAAAATTTATCTGAACTACTTTAACTCCTCTTCTTGATGAGCTATATTAACAAAGAGAATAGAATATATATTAGAGGGGAATTTACTAGAAAATAGTGTAAAACGGCCATTTTGTTGTACAGTTTCCATACTGCAGGTGTACTTTACATATTTATGCTATATAAACATTTGGGCCGTGGACTCCGTGGACCATCATTTTATAGAAAATCTCAATCTGGTTTCATAGTTGAGCAATAATCATTTCACATAGACTCTATGCCTTTCACTTTACAAACGATGATTTTCCGTTATAACTATAAATCAAATGATGTTGTTTATTCACCTAATTCATTATAAAGTTTATTTAACAGCTTTAAAAAATTCAAAATGGAAATGGATAGTCTAGGGAACATACGGTATTAATGTACTCGACTACTGCATATAATTTGCGAACATTTACATGATTTGTACACTTTGAACTAGCCCCCTTTCAGGCTGAAAGGGACTGAAAAAATTCATACCGAGAGATTCTCTAAATTCCCCTCTAATATGTATTCTATTATCTTTGTATATTGAGCATGACAAAAAATTTGGAATTTTAACTTGTATAACCAGATCCTCTATTAGAAACTGTGCACTTTAAATAAAACTTTTAATGCGTTCTTCAGTAATCTTAATACACTGACTGAAAGAAAAGTGGGTTTAAGTGGAAAGTGTAAAAGGTCACAAAGTCCTACCGGTAATATCTAGTTTTTACCTTTAGATAAAGATAGATGTTTATGTAGACTACTGAAATGATGACAAGTGGTAGAATAAACTGAACACCGCTTGAGTAGATTGTGAACCTAAAAACAAATATTTACGAATTTTATGCAAGATTTAAAAAACCTTAGTTTTTTCTTCATATTACTCCGCTAATGTATAAATACAAAAATAAATAGTATATTAAAATCTCCTAGATATAAAGTCAATGTGCCAAAACCAAATTATGAATCAAAGGAATTGAGTTTTTGCCACAAGCTCAAATTTTCTAATCCCTCTATCTTTGAAACTTTACTTCTATATTTCAAACTATTTAATCTAACAGATTTTACAGTTTGAAATATTAGAGGTCTACAACATCAAGATGCAAAGATATAGGGATTAGAAAATCAGAGTTTGTTGCGAAAACTCAATTCCTTTTCCAGAGACTTTAAATCTAGATATTACATTTGGCGCAATCATCTGCACCAAAAATTTTTCCTAACCATGTATCTATTGTAACATCATACATAGATGTTTATAGGTCCTTTCTTAAAGACATTTTCCCAAAAGTCAACTTGTCAAGAGTATTTTCCCATGTGGAAACTTCCCAAATGTGCTATTTCCCAAGTGGCAACTTCCCAAGTCTGTAATATCCGAAGATCTCTGCCTTTTGCCTGTCCTAGCCGCAGCACTCGGCTCCGCATTGCAGCGCCTTAGAAGGCCTAACCTAGGGGAAGTTGCCACTTGGGAAGCCGCCCTTGGAAAAATGCCTTTGGGAAAAAACATGATACCCTTAAATGCAGAAAGACCAATAAAATTGCGTAAAAGGAAGATGACAGTTAGACTATAGTTAAATATTTTTGGTTGTCAGAAGTCAGAACTCTACGGAACTTCAAACATAAAATTATTGATGGTTTACAAAGACGAACCCACTTCAAAAGTTGATTTTGAAGTTAAAAATATATTTACTTTATAAAACCATCCCATGCACTGTACAGTTTAAAGAAAAAAAATCATCATAATTAACTTACGTCTCAAAAAATTATATTTTTTAAAAATATATTTTTCGGATAAAACCAATAATTAATATCACATCATCACATGCCCTATATAATCCATGTACTAACAAATCATGAAATCGGTCTTGTTTAAAGAATCTATAATATAACTTGATTATAAATCATGAAAATCTATAATTACCATATTCGATCTTGTTTAGTGGTTGCTTCGTCAGATCCGAGACTCCAGTCCTGCAGGCAATATCGAAAACGTGATTAATTTTTAAAAATAACAACGAAAAAATTGTACATGTACACGCGTAACTAGATAGAGAAAAATATGATGGGGTTCTCTAGCAAAAGAAGGAGATGCTTGTTTTTGACAAAAATTGCTTCTATTCAACAAAAAATCGCTTATTTTCCAGTCATTCAAATCCAACTTACGCTATTAAAAAAATCGGGTTTTTTATTAAATTAATCTGATTTTGTGTCGCTTAGTTGGTAGCTGCAATCTAAACGGCTTCTTTTTAATTTCGTAATTTATATGCGAGTATAAACCAGAGGAAAAAACTTGTGAATCTTAAACACGTGTTTTAATCTACAAAGACGGTTCAATTTAATCTTAGATGCAGCCAATGGTGCCAACGAATGAGAATTTTACGTGATTAAGCGAATGAATACCCATTAATTGATAAATGCTGTAATCAAAAGTTTTGCTCCCAGGACGTCTAGATTATCATGAGGTGAAATCCAGAGGATGCATAAACTAAGTCTAGCCCCCCCCCCTCCCCCCTAACTCATTAAACAAGATTTCGCTTTATTTGTAGCTAAGATTTTTTATTTTTCTTGGTCTTTTAGGTTTGTTAAATCAATCTTTAAATGAGCCAAGGACATATAAAAAGAAAAATTTAGAGTTATAAAACTGTGCGATTTCGGTAACATTATTTACAAAGTGATTTTTTTAAATATTTTTTCGAAGGTACACACAATATTTTTTAAAGAAATCATGTTGTTTACAATTTTTTTCTTGTTTCTTTATACTAACATTTGGATAAAATTTAAGGAGGGAGGGGGGGGGGCCTTCTTTAAATATTAAAAATTACAAGATTAACTATTTTAAAAATGTGAATTTATGAAATACCTCGTAACAGATCAAAATCTTGGAGAATTCTTCTTTGTAGTCATCTGGCAGCTGGTAGCGAGTTTCCTAGATAAATTCTTATTCATATTTATATACATATATATTTATATACATCTATATCTTGATTTTTATATTCAAGATAAACAATATGGAAATAAACATAGTTACGTTGGGGCTGGGTGGTGGGTGTTGTTTTATAATAAATTACATATACAGATAGATAGAGGTAATTTATCTCTGTTTGTCGGCCTTGGTAATTTGAACTTATGATATGGGTTTTCTTAAGGCATTTTCGATAACTATTTTGTTATACTGATTTAGACTTTAATTCCCATGAGCAATGAGCATAAGCTTTTCATAAAAATGAGAAAATCTAAATTAGATAAATCATGCTTTTTATTCAATTTTTAGAAAAATTTAACGCAATGATTCAAGATTTTTTTTAATAATTTGTTGTCATACCAAAAGAAATTTAGTTGTGAGATTAAATGTGATAAATTTTGAACAAGCTAATTTTTTTGGCTACAGGTAAAATTGCGATATTATTGCTATCGGAAACCCTACTCAAAAAAAGAATGTTTACCTAACTGTAGGAAACCGTAAGTGCAAAAAAATTTTGATTTATGTGCTCTGCGAACTTTACTTTTGAAAATTGATTATTTTTGCTGAGAAATGTATTTTCAATTTTGATTCCTTAAAAATTCTAAGGAATAAAAAGATAGAGGAAATCAGGAAATACAATTTTTCTATTTGTCAACACTTCATACACGAATTCAAGGCAATAAAGTGCACGGAACTTCGGGGGGGGGGGGGGGTGTACACAACTTACAGTGACATATTAGGACTGCTAAGAACTAGTTTTTTTATTCTAAAAATTTTTCGTTTTTTTTAAATTACCGTTTGTTAACAATCACAATTTAATTAACGGCGTTAATGGAACATTTTCAACAATCGTTAACGGCTTTAGCCATTAATGGCACGGTTATTACAAAATAATTTCGTTAACGATTAAAAAATAGTTAATGGCATAGCCGTTATATAATGGTATATTACAGTATTAACGGCGTAAACGGAGAAAAAAATTTCGGCCTTTATAAACACAGAAGACGACATTTAAAAACATCATCACGCGGAAATTTTTAAGTTTTAAATTAAATTTCATGCAATCTTAATCAGAAAATAACGGTATTTTTTTAACTTTTCAGTTACCGTTTTTAACCATTATTTTTTTCAAAAACGGCTAATCCGTTTTGTTAACGATCTTAAAAATTAACGGTTTTTGCCATTTGTTAACGGACTCTTCCGTTAAGTTTCGGAAACCTCCGTTTTGTTAACGGAACTTTGGCCAGCCCTAACCATGACAGCAACTATATATATAGATATATATAATATTTGTGTTTTACAATCTTGAAAGATATTTTAAAAAATTAAAGTAAAATTTGTATGAAATGTAAAGTTTAAAAAATGAAATTAAAAATATATAAATATAATGGCAGCAAAAGTGTATTGATAATTTTATTTAAATAAAAACCGTAAACAACGTTTAATATTTACGTCATCTAACGTAAATAGATAAAAATTAATTTTTTAAAAATTTTTCTCAGATGTTTCTATCAAAGAGAAATGGATATGAAAGACAATAAAAGACCACATGACTCAAACCCAAAAAAGTTGAATTGCTAGGTTTTTTTTTAGAAACATCGGATTTGAATAAAGCAGTATCATTTATAATTAATATAGTGCTTGTCTTAGATATACCCTCTTTGATTTATTGCTAACACTCCCTTTAATGTTATTTAACAACATAAAAACGTTCAATAAACCGATATAAAAACAGTATAGAAGACGATAATAGTTAATATTTTTAATTGCTTTATCCAAGGGGGGACCGGGCGCCATAAAAGGACTGGAAATGTGAATAAAAATGACCTTCTATGCCCAAATCACGCCAGTATATACCCTTATAACCTTTGTATGATCAATAAAATGGAATATATTTTTCTTCTTTTACGACATTGGAATTAGAAAATCTGAGTAAGAGGCAAGAACTCTGTTCTTTTTGCTCTATATCTATAAATTCTATTATTGACATTGTAAAATCCCATCCTTTTCATTTAATAGATTATTTTGTATAATATACATAAGACCCGAAATTTTGTAAACTTGAAAACTTTAAATTCAGAAGAAACATTATAGAAATATGGTGGACATAGATTCTTTTGCCTTATCATAAGGCAATGATACAATTTTAATTTTATTTTTATATTAAAGTAAGAAGATTTATTTTTCCCGAAAGTCACGAAATTTGCAACAACAAAAAAAGACACGATGGTTATTTTGATTAAAAATATTGGATTATTTCGGGACAATCAATTCATCATTGAGCAGCTAAATTGTCTCAGTTGTGTTATTAATTTGGAAAATTGTGCTCACTACACGAACAACATTTAGTTAATTTTTAATTGGAAACACACTACACAAACACATTAAAAGCGAAATACAGTGAGACCCGGTAAACTCTGGAATAGAAAGACGATCCTAAGACTCGAGCTATAGCTTTAGATAGTCCAATGAACACAGCAACTTTGCAGTATAAACAGACCCATTGGACTTAGTAAGTAATTTATTTACTTACTATTTGCCCTGTAAAAACATCAAATACACAATTTATAGTATTGCTTTAATGTTGTCTTCCTAATACATAATTTTCTGGTTCTCACTAATGTCTACTAACATGTATATAATAACATTGATTTTTACCTGTATCGCCTAGACCAACAAAACAAATATATTCATTTATATGTAGGGTCTACCATCAGTTTAATATATTTAATTAACTAGAAGCAGAATTAAGTACATTTTTAAATTTGGAAAATTTTGATTTTTAAAGCTTTGAAAAAAAGGACTTAAAACTAAATTTAGCTGACAAAGAAACAGTCGTCGTAATTTTTAGTGACCCTGCATTTAAAGCTTAATTCACAACGGTACCTTTGACATTCAACTGATTAATAATGTGGAAGAAATCGTCGTTTTAAAAGTGTTTAAGGGGGCTGTAAAGAAAAATGAAAGGGAGTATAGGCTAATCACTTTAGCTCTTGATCGTGACCCATGAAAGTTATATCTGATATTCCTGTCTCGAGAAATTGATATACAACTATGCCAAATTTTTACGAAAATTCATATATATATATATATTCAATTTTGTATAGAAATGGTAGATTTGAACAGATCATATTCAGCAAAAACGCAACCAATCTGTAAACAAAGATATCCCAGAGAAAGCTAATTGTAACTTAATTTTTCTCCAATTATCATTTCATAATTTTTATTTTTATTTTTAATAAATATAATTGAAAATATTATTTATCATTAGAACTCCATCCAATGATAGTGCAGTATACTGGTCAGTTGATACAGACAGAGACACATGATCAGTATATTGCACTCTCATTGGTGGGAGTTCTGCTGTATATATATGAATTGTCGTAAAAATTCGACACAGTTTTACATCAACTTCTCGAGACAGGAACGTCAGATATAAAACTTTTATGGGTCGCGATCAAGTGATTAGCTCTCAGCCTATACCCCCTTTCATTTTTCCTGTACAGTCCCTTTAAACCTTTGCTACCGAAGCAAAAAATGCGCAACTCAATTTCCCACATATAATGAAAATAAACAGTTTTCAAAAACAAAAACATGAATATCGAAATCATATTTGATCATTACGCCTACAGTACAGGTAAAGGAATCATGATTCACCGAGCCAAATTTTCTAGCTTTCCCAGCTAGAGCTGAAAATTAAATTTTTTTAAAGTTTTTCACAGTTTTTTTTTCTAGCTGGGTAACAATTGACTGATCGAGGAATGATTGAGGATATATCTATCTGATTCAGAATACAAGTCGTAATTTTAGATGTTCAATAACTACAAAATTAGAAAATTATTTACAAAAATTGAAAATCCAATCTCTTACTCTCCTTTAATTCATCAGAAGAATTTAATGTTTAAATTTAATATTTATGGACAAAACATGCTTAATCGCTTTAATTGGGACACGTGGACGAACAAGAATTATTATGGAACTGTCCACCTTATTTCAAGTGACCCTTTATCAAGAAAATTAAATGTCAGATTCACAGCGTACCCTTTGAAACTTAATATCTATAAAGTAGAAAAGAGGTCAATTCCATCCTTTTCTTTGGCTGCCTAAATCCGCAAATAGCTTATTTAGATTGGTCGTAGTTGCAGTTGAAAATGATAATATTAATCAGACATGAATATATAAATTGCTGGTCACTTGAAATTCCGTTGGCAGTCCCTTTAAAGCTGTATATTTAATGAATAAAATTCAAGAGGATATATGTTTACTTACAAAGATCTCCTTGAGGTTGGTGAGGGTGGATGAGTAAAGGAGGGGGGAGGTGAGGATGGTGGCTGTAGTGCAGATTATTGGAAGTATACACCAGGCTCCAGTAGTTCCAATCTTATATTATAATAATAATAGATATTATCTACATCGTATATATTTGTATATATATAAACTATCTTGGAAACCCAGCTTTTCCCAAAAACACAACTTTTCCTTTAGAAGTAAAACCCACTCAATTAGTCAAGGGGTTCTTGAGTTACGATCAAACATATAAATAAACACAAAAAATACTTAAAAAAATACCCTTGATTCGAAAACTCGGTAGAACCACGGGAATATTTTTATAGCTTGGTTTAAACATTATTTAGTGAATGGGCTGACTTTAAAAGGGAAAGGTGGTGTGGTGTCGTATCGTTTGCACTAATTATTGATCAGACTAACGTACATTCGCACTAATGTTCATTCGGACTAACGTTTTATTTGAGAGTTAGGTTAGGTTAAGAAAATTTCTGGGCCGAGCTCTGCGGCTAGGAAAGGCTAGAGGGCCGAGGGCCGCGGCTAGAACAGGCTAGGGGGCCGGGTGCTGCGGCCTCAAGTTTTACTGATCAGCTGACTTTAGTGCAAAAGTACGTTAGTTCAATCGGACATTAGTGCTAACGATATAGCATCGGAAAGGTTAGATGTAAAAAAGATGAAAACTAACAAAAGTTAAGGCTCTGACATCAGCTGAACGTTATTTCGGGATTCTTTGCAAGTATTCCATAATTTCTCAGACAGAACAAATTATTTAAAGTGACCCTCCGTGGAAAGATTGCAATTCACGATTCACAACGCCAGCATTGAAACGTTTATTTGATAAATGATGTGATACATATTTACGTTTTTCTGGTTTAAACGTGTTGAAATCTGATTGATATTCCCTAAATGCTTTCCGGCAGCAGATATGCGTAAGCGAGAAAGAACCACACTTGAAAATTGTAAGTTTTCAAAATTATAAACCATGATATCGATATCTCATTTATATTTGATCAGACTTAATGCTTTTAATGGTATACCGTTGTGTATCAGGAATCGTCATCTTTGCATGTATGATGGGTTCACTTGATATTATTCTTACAGTCCCTTTAAACAGTGAAAGATAGAGATACTATTAAAAAGGAAAAGTTGTCTCTTCATAAATTCCTTATCAGAAAGAAAACAGAAGTTAAATTATATTTTTAATTGAATTTGTTCTGCAATATTTTTTTTACTTTTTTCCTTGTTATGCAGGAAAAGTTTGTCTAATATGTATATATGTACCATTACATGACATGAAAAAAAGATTTTGTTGGGGAGGGGGCGGCGGTAATTTTTTTCTAATTTTTAAACTTTATATTTTTTATTAGTTCAAAGTGTACCCAATTATTAAACTATGCATCCCCTGAATTTCATGATAAATCTATTCTAAATGTTTCTTATGAAAATCTAAAGAAATATACCAGTTTGGGCCTACAGACTTTATTCTTAAAATAATACATTTGCATCCAAGATTAATTCGAATTTTCAAGGAAAAAGCAAAGAATTTAAAAACTCTCTCCTGGATCAAGTGTAAATATGAACTTTGAATTTTCATATTTTATCAAACATTTGTTTAAAACTTATCTACATATAGGTTATTTTTAGGGTGGAGGGGGTGGGGGGTGGAATACCACCAGTGTATGCATAGGAGTAGCCCCGCAGTCGGGTCAAAGCCTGGGTGTTTTAAAAATATCAAACCTTTTTGTGTTTTGAGCAACAGATCTAAATTTACATTTTTGAAAAGCCCCTCAAACTGGATGTAAAAACATGGGACACATTAGATCATTTGTCAAAAATTATAAATACATTATTCTGACATATCTTTTAAACCTATAGTACCCTTAATTATTAAAGTTAGAAGTATATTATTTTAATTGAGCCGGCCTCTAAAAGGTGGATTAGTAAAATGTATCACAAATCCTTATCTCAACTCACAGGACAAAATTATAATGGGAGGAGGGGCTACAATATCCCCCTCTATATTAGACAAAAATAGACAAAAAATTATGTTTTTTTTCTTTTGTTGGAAGTTTCCAAATAAAAGTTTGGACCCCAAGGTTATATTTCTGGGAAAGCATGATACAATTATGACCCAAAACTACAACAACCAGTTTTCCAAGAAAAATAAGTTTCTACTTTTCCATAAACTTTGCTTATTCATGGCAACTGAAAGGGACTGAACGCACAATTTCAAGTAACCCTTTATTTATAGAGTTAAATTTATCCAGTTCACAACTGTGCCCTCAAAAGTTTTGTCTGAACGAGAATGATTGATTTATCCACATTTTTCTGCTTACAATTTGGCTATTTTTAGTTGCACCTTGTTAATTTCTGCCATCAGAAACAATGGAGGAATTAAACACTGTTTAATCTAGAAAAATGACGATACCTTCCGCTCTTGATCAGAAAAAGACTTTAGAATGTTTTGTTATGAGTCGGAAAACCCCTCTTTGAATGGAGGGTTACTTGAAGTTGCAAAGACAGTCTCTTTAAAAAGACTCTGAAAGTAAGTACAGTTCTGTCAACATTCTTAAGGATACAAAAGGGGAAAGATATCCATAGGCCTGGTTTTAAACCTTTCAAAAATCCTTTTACTGATTTAATAAAAGTGCTTAATGATTTAAAAATTTTATCGAGTGTTATATAAGTAATTAAGTAAATAAGAAGTATTTGTATTTACAAAATATGATAAAAATTATAAAATAAAGTGTTTAAGAAGGAAACCGATAAAAATTGAGGTTGTGGGAATATTTCCCCCCCATTCTTAAAACAGAATTTTATATATTTATTCCAAGTGACATATGTGGGACACCTTGAATATGATGTGGTAAACCATATATATGATGTGGGAAGACACCCTAATATGATAAGGCATACCCAGCATATGATATGGGACACCCTGATATGAAATGGAACACCCTATATATGATATGGGACACCCTATTATGATATGAGACATACTGATCTGATATTGGACACACTATATGTTATATGGGACACCCTATATATGATATGGGACACCCTATATATGATATGGGACACCCTATATAAAATATTGGACACCCAATATATCATATGGGACAACTGATATATGATATGGGACATACTGATATGGTACGGGACCACTATATATGATATGGGACACACTGTAAATGATATGGGACACCCTGTATATGATGGGACACCCAATATTTGATATGGGAGACCCTATATATGATAATGGATACTCTATATATGATATGGGACACCATATATATAATATGGGTAACCCTATATAAGATATGGGACACCCTGAATAAGATATGGGACACCCTATATATGATATGGGACAACCTGATTTGCTATAGGACATACTGATAAAATATGAGACACCATATATATGATATGGGATACCTTATATAAGATATGGGTCACCCTAAATATGATATGGGACACCCTATATTTGATATGGGACCGACTGATATGATATGGGAGACCCTGCATATGATATGGGACACCCTATATAAGATGTGGGACACCCTATATATGATATGGGACACCCTGTAAATGACTCACCTGTTTAGCTGTTGATCTACAGATAACCCAGTATCTGTCTAGAGCTATGGATAAGATAGAGAGAGAAGACATGAAGACAGCTATACACGAGGTCGACTTCACCATCCTACAAATAAGTGCAAAAGAATTAGATTTTTTCAAAAAAAACTTAAATTTTCTATCCTTATATCTTTGCAATCTGATGGTGTAAAGCTTTGATATTTTAAAATTTAAATATTCGATTTGAGAGAATTTATAATTTTAGATTTTAAGTACGACATTAGGTTGCAAAGCTTTAAGAGATTAGAAAATCAGAATTTGTTTCAAAAACGCATTGGCTGGATTCAGAATGGTTAACGGGTACACCCCCCCCCCAGCAGGAATAGGGTTAACGGGTACAGCTTGTACAGGTTTTTTAGTAACTTTGAATAAACCATTAGTATTTATCTGATACAATTTGTAACCAAATTTTATTGGTTCAAAGGAACTGCAATTTAAGTTTTAATCACAAACCCAAATTGTGTGAACGATTGACATTTCTAATATAGAATATTTCATCCAACAAATTCAAAGTTGATTCAAAATAACTGAGTGTTTACGCTACAATGTAGTAAACTTTTTATATTTTAAACTATGAATTCAGTTAGATCAAACAATTTTAGTTTTACATATCAAAGATTTACACACATTAGGTTGCAAAGATATGGGGATTTGAAAAACTCGATTGGTTTGATTCAAAAGAAAACGCAAAATATCGTACAGAGATATATAATATATTTTTAAAAAAAATGAATTAAGAAAATAACCTAAAACTTCTTTATCAATTTAACGATAATTTAATTCCAGCTAAACAAGATGGTCAGAATTCTTTCATTTTCTCGCGAAATCTTTTGATTACAATTTTATGAAATTGTTCTATTTTTGAATTGATTCTTAATATCTGTCAAGTTGATTATTCTGAAAAAAGGTGAATCTTTATTTTAAACGAAACAGAAATTGACATAACTAATCAATAACAATTTAAAAAAATATATATTTTTTTAAAACCTCTTGTGTATTAAATTTAAGACTAACACCAACTAAAATTTGATTTTTGGGGTTAATATATTTTACATTTCCTATTACGCTTTTTTTGCAGAATTTGAATGAGAGACCAAAACTTCCTTGCGCTAACCGGGGTGTTCTCATTCCTATTGTATTTGAACAAGGTATTTTTTAATATTGCAGGTAATAGTGATAGGGGCTATGTACACATTTTATTGGAACGAGTTACACCAGAGCCCAAAACTTAAGACAGGGTATCGTTATGAAAACCAGTTTTAGAACCCGGGTTTCATAAATGGGGTAATTGGCAGTTTTCTGAATATCAATACTTGTGTTATGAAATATTATTTTCTTTAGTTTCTTAATATTCTCTATTTTTTTCGAATCTTTTAAATCAAAATCTACACAAATGTGTAGACCCCAAACAGGAAACTCGGGAGTTTCGTTCAACGATACTCTTATAAATTTTGGGCTCAGGGGGGATGATAGTTCTCTACCTGTGTGCTCAGTAAGCTTATAGTGTACACTTACAACTGTTTACTAATATTGATATACTATAGGTTCGGGCAGAATCTCCTTCTAATAAACAAATATGCAGTACGCTCTCAGTATAGTTGATGGCCTATAAAATTACTGAAGGATTAGCGTACATCATCACTCTACACACTATAACCTCGTTGAGTTACACAGAGACTAAACTGCAGGGCGGAACTTTCCGTGGTAGGAAAGGAAAATTTGTTACCAACTATTCTTATCCCCCTTACACATAGATCTAGACTGCCTTGAAAAGTTGCATACATTTTTAAGACTAGGTTGGCTTTAGAGTGTTGAATCATGTTGGTCTTTAATTAAACCTTACTAATATACAAATACTTTGTTGTAGCCCTATACAAATGCATTTAAAATTAACTTGCTTTTAAGATTCAGTTGAAGAAATCGGCAAAATTCTTAAGAACTTTAGCGTAAGAGCTTGAAACCTTTGGATCACTGTGCTACCTGTGCTACCTGTGTTACCTGTGCTACCTGTGCTACCTGTGCTACCTGTGCTACCTGTGCTACCTGTGCTACCTGTGCTACCTGTGCTACCTGTGCCTATGTATATATTTATTTATTAAATAACTGCCCGGTAACTAGAATGCTTCCCAGGAATCTACTTGTCCCACCAATTCATCTTACAGGCCCTTTTAGGAAAATTCTGGATAAATGATTTGACATGTGCATTGTACAATGAATAGTCTTATGCGCACTGTACTCATATATACAGTGGAAACAAACTTACTTGCAGACGAAGAGTGAACTACCCAACGGCCATCCGCTGGTCAGAGCGTCAAGGGCGGTGAAGGGGATTGTCAGGGACAAGATCAGGTCAGAGAAGGACAAGTGGAAGATGAAGATGTTCCTGAACATATTATACATGGTAATATCTATCTTTCTATCTATCTATCAATCTATCTATATATCTATCTATCTATTTATCTATCTATCTATCTATCTATCTATCTATCTATCTATCTATCTATCTATCTATCTATCTATCTATCTATCTATCTATCTATCTATCTATCTATCTATCTATCTATCTATCTATNTTTAAATTTCTATTTATGAAAAGTAAATAGATTTGTCAAAAAACTAGAGGGGGGAGCCAAACTCCCCCCCCCAGCCTGTTTAGGGTTAAGAAGAACAAAATATTTTTTGAATTTCTAACATGTAACTGCATTAATTTACTATCCTCCTAATTAAATTAGAGGATATACGAGTTGGAAAAGTATAATATTTGTAAATTTGAATTTTAATTGTAATTGTTTATTTGTTAAAGGCAGTTACAGTGCGAAAAATGAAAGTGGGTATGAAGGCTTATCAAGTTTCATTATGAAATATCAACTTTATACGAATGTGTCGAAAATTTATCGATAATAGGTTGCAATATCTGAATGATTTGTTTGGATTTAAACTGATTTTTTTACGATCCGAGTCGTATGTCGCAACTTTCTGAATTTGTATGGACGCTACGTTCTTCGGTATGAGAAGTTTTTAACAAATTAGTCCTTATAGACGCAGCAGATAGAAGTAAGATTAAAAGCTACTACCATCGATAATTTTTCGCTTTAAGTATATACCCTCTTTCATTTTTCGCGAACTCTCCCTCTAAGTACTATCTGATTGGTATTGTTTCTCAATAAGTAATTGGTAAACTGTACTATACATGTTAGACTCTCCAGGAACTTATAGCAATCAATTAATGGCATTTTAAAGGCACTGAAGACTTAATTTTTAGCAATTTTATGAATAAAAACAAAAATATTCATGAACAATTTATAATGACAATCGAACTCGAAGTTGAATTTTCTAGTCCTTAATTCTTTGCAACCTTATATCGTAGACCTTTGATATTTCAAACTATTATCTGATTGATTGTTCAAAGTTCTTTGTTGTTTGATTCAAAAAGTTAAGCCTATTTTGTTTGCTTCAAAAGTTGCAAGCTATGAGTTTACCTGCAATCGATACCAGGATAGTATAAGCTGTAATTATTACTGTTCTGAACAACAACAAACTTTTATTATTTAGAGATTTAAACATTTCAGTTCGACACTTATTAAGAAATTTTGGGCTAGCCAATTTTTGAGAACTTTTAATTTTTTTAAAAACAAATTTCCTATTTAATGTTCTGAAATATTTTGACAGGATATGTCACTAATTGTCGTCTATTCAAGATTTAGCGGTTTTTCGTTTATTTTAACCCTGAGGCAGAAACCCCAAAGGGGATACGCGCAGTCAGCGTAGAGCGGTTTTATCTCTGTCTTGTAATTCTACGCAGCATGCGCGTAACTAATTTGGGCTTCGGCCTAAGGGTTATTGTATACGAAAAACATCTAAATATTGAAAAGACGACATTTAGTGGCCTATCTGTTATTCTAAATAATCTATAATTCTAAATATGTCTGAAAAGTAGGGTTTCCAATCGCAATTGCGCGCAACTGTCCTCGAATTGCGCGCAAATAAAATCCACCTGAGTTGGAAACCCTACTGAAAATAAGAATAAGAATAAGAATAAAACTAGTATTGTTCCTGTTGGTCTCCGGTAGAACTGTTCTATTCTCTGAGAAAGCTTCTAGATATCTATCCAACTCTGCTTTAATCTGATCTTCACTCATATTACTAGATCAGGAGATGAATAGAAAACTGATTCTTAAAAGGAACTAGATAGGATAGCTCAACACGTCAAATTAAACCAAATTTACGTTATATTGAAATCTTAAACATTTTCATTTCTTTTATTGAGGAGTTATTGAGAAGAAAAAATTACTGAACAAATTTCTGTATTGGAAACCAAACAAATTAAGCTTTTATCACAGAATTCACAATTTGAAATATATAAAGTCTACCATATTGGGTTCCAAAGATATAGGGATTAGAAAATTTGTGGCAAAAACTCAATTTCTTTTATGGAAACATTTTCAAATTCTTCTCTTGTTTGATCCAATAATGTTTAACATTGATAAATTAGATTGTTGCGTCAATGATCTTTTCTCTGTAAAATGTTCGTCACTGAATTTAATCTTTAATAGATTTATGGGGAAAAATTACATTTTAATTCTAAAATAATTGTTTTTTATATTTTAACAATTCATTTCCAACCTCATAGTTTGCTCAGAAAAGTTTGACGCCATGCTGTTTGATCTGCAATAAATATATTTAATATACAGTAAAAAATTCTGATGAATTGGGGTGTTTACATACAAATACACAATAAACATAAATAAACGCGGTTTTTATATTTAAAGGAGATGTGAACGTAATGCGATATCTTTGCAAAGTGGTTTGCTGCTTGAGCACTTTTCTTTAGAAACAGAGGACTAAATAATTAGAATTAAACACATTTAAAGCTAGAAAAACGATGATATCTTCAACATTATGGATCAGATTAAGGTTTTAATTTGGTATAGGTATGGTTTCCAATTTGAATTTTATTACGCGGAATTGCGCACAATGATTGCTTCTGCTTGCGTCATTTCAAGGAAGCAATTAAATATTCGCGAAATTAACAATTTAATATGAAACATTTTTCATTTGTTCACATTGAATGACCATTAAAACGGAAACTTTTTTGGTTAAAATTATAAGGTTCGTTAAATCAAAATTAGATATTTTGCTACTGGTGAGAACCAGAAAAGTATATTACAGAAAGATAACATTACAGTGTAGTTGATGTCGTTACAAAGCAAAAAATTTTAATTTGTAACTTATAAATCACTTATTCAGTTACTGCTTGAGTCTAAAATGTCGTTTTCCCATGCCACAGATTTCTGGTTAACATGCTGCATATAAATATTATAAAATAAAAGATTACGTTTAAATTCAATTTTCTTAGCATTTGAGACTGAAATGTTAGTGCAGTTCATTTTATTGTATGCCACTAACAAAGTTTGAATTGAATTTTTGGTTGTTGAGCGAAATTGCGCAATAATTAATTGCACTTATTGTGTGGCATAAGGTTTAGACTGAATATTATCAAAAAAACAGAAATACAAACGCAAGAAAGTTGGACGGAATTACGCGCAATTCCGTTGCGTTCATTGCACGCCATTAAATTTACTTGCGCGAAAGGGCTCTAATTTGCGCGCAAGTAAAATCCCACTTTTGGACATGCCCCTCTTTATATTTTGAATGTCACTTAGAATTATTCGCGCCACACTCCCTTTAAAGGAATAAGAAACTTTAATTTTAGGTGCCTTTAACTCCCCAGTCCCAATTCAAAAACAACACGCCTTAATCATTTCTCTCAGCAAGAAAGAATGCGATATCCGTATTTTCCCTACCTATAAATGGGCAAGGGCCATTATGCCATAGATAAAACAGTATATAGATTGGTAATGTTTGCAATGTACACAAAAAATTGTACTCCCCACTGATTATATCCAATAGGTCATATATTACGTGTTATATCCTATGCATGTTTCATGTTTGTTGTAAACATCAATCAGCGCTGGGAACTTTAGAATGGTGGATATCGGGATTAATGCTTGATCCAATCTTNAACTCATCATGAAGCTGACGCTGTCAAATTTCTACAGGTTTATAGTCTGCTCTAGTTTCTAGTTTCATGTATTTTAGTAGCATACTCCTCCACAAGGTTATGCATGCAAACTCATCATGAAGCATGACGCTGTCAAATTTTCTACAGGTTGTATACTCTGCTCCATCAAGGTTCATGTATTCTGCAGTAATTTAGAAAAAAGTTCAAGAAATCTCCCTTGGCTATAGTTGCATGGTTCAAGGGATGTAGGAGCATCTTTTATATGTTGAGTTTAACCTTTATTGAAAAACATTTGCCTTTGAATTAATTAAACTTATTTTAATCCTGAAAAATCTATACACAACTTCAGAAAAAACTTACAGCTAACATGTAAAAAGTCACCAACTTTTAGAATTATAGAACAAGATTTATTTTGGAATTATCGTTGCAACATAATCGCATACTGTTTGGATGGAGTTTTAACATACAGCTAGGGATGGATCATTTTAACTTTTCTAGAAAATGAACCCAAATCGTTTCGGTAACGATGTAGAAAAAAGCAAAAAACTAAACAATTGTTTTTGATTAAAAAAACGAAGCAGTGGTTTTTATTCTATAACATCGTAGTTTCGTTAATGAATGTAGATTGTTTATAGTTCTGTTGATTCTTAACGGTAATTACCGTTAACGACGTAATATCCGTTACCCACGCAATTTTTGTTGCGATTAATAAAACGAAATCCACGTATTTTCTGTTGTGATTAATAAAACTATATCCACGTACTTAGAGTTTTATGTGATTTGGGTGTTTGATTTTGATTTACTATTTAACGACGACATTTAACAATTAGTAGAAAGAATTAATGCAAGGCCAATTCAGTTACTAAACCTCATATTGTTAATAAGAGGACCCAGAGTTCTATATACAATTGCAACCTGATAAACCCTGATTAATTAAATTGCTGTAATTACGTAAGTGGCTGAAAAACCAAGAAGCGTTCTGTAATATAAAGATAAAATAAAAATAAAATCTCTATTTATATAGGAAGTTGACCGATACATAACGATACCCTTAATTCCTTCATCTGAACTAAAGATATGGAGTTATCCTTGTTCTACTTTCTACAATCAGTTTAATTCAATTAAGCGGTTTAATTACAACTTAGTTTGAAGATACAATGGAGAAATTGAAAAAAACTTAATTTCTTGTAATTTTTTAAATTTTTTTTAATTAGAGTCATTAAACAACTATTCATTTCTTTTTATCCTCAAAGTTTGATATTGATCCTAAATCCCAAAGAGGACTACTGTTATCCCTGGGATTAATTTCTAATTCTCAGGTCACAAGGGCTTTTCAAATCAAAATAAGTGTCAGTGTGTTAAGGGTTTA